CCCCACCACCACATCAGTCAGTCCTCAGGACATCACCACCACCATCATCACCAGGCCTACAGTGGCACTGGCCTGGCCTTCAATTCTTCTGACTGCCTGGATTACAAGGAGCAAACAGCCTCCTCCTGGAAGCTCAACTTCAACACTACAGACTGTTTGGACTACAAAGACCAAGCGTCCTGGAGGTTCCAAGTCTTGTGATCTGATTTTTTTTAAATGCCCTCCATTTTCACCATCTCTCTGTTTTAATAGTGTGCTGAGTTTAAGGAAAAAAAAATATATGGACTTGCAGATTTTAACAAAATAGTTAGATGTTCGTCACATTTTTAAAAGTTAGCGCCCCCCCCCCTTTTTTTTTTAGAGAAAAGAAAGGGGGAAAGCGGCAAAGTTGTGGAGGGAAATGAAAGCTAGTTTTCCCCTTTTTGTTTCTGAAGAGAATTAGATTTCCTCGAAGCCCCAGAGTTCTGGTTCTGAAGTGTTCTGCCGGACTCGCGTCTCTCCTGCCTGATCTGGATTACCGTTTTTCTACACGGGACACTGAACGCTCAGCGACCGCTTTACCTCCACCTCTCAAACCCTGTACAGCTGTTTCGTTTTCTAAATATGGTTATTTTTTAGGATGACAGATTCTAGTCAGCTTAACGGAGCTGAATTGTGTACATATGTATTTGGGTCAGTTACATTGACCATATTTAGTTGGTGTTACTGGATTTCAAATGGTTTAATAAGACTTTGAAACGACTTTATGTAAATCTTTTTCCCAAATAATCCAAAGATCAAGAATTGGCCGCTGGATTTATTTGATATACTGAACCATTTTTTTGTTACCCTGAAAAAAAATAAATAAATAGGATTTTATATTGAGAACACCGTGTGGAAAAAAAATTTAAATTTAGAAAAAAGAATCTTAATTATACGTTGGACATTTTTAGAGGGGGAGGGGGGGGGGTCTTTGGCTGTGATATTTCATTAGGTAAACTAGCATTTGAAGATTTGTTGCGGTGAAGGAGCACGGGCATGATTAAAATTGTTGGATGCATTTAACAGCACTTGACTTATTTGCTCTAACCGACAAAAAAACATGTGGATGACGAAATGTGGTTTAAGGAAGAATTCCCAAATGCCAGTGAAATGCTGAATGTACTGCAGGCGCAGATCATTACAGTCATGTCCGTAATAAAGATCAGTTAACTACCAAAATTTCGCATGACTTCTGACTGGGGTATGTCAAATTTTAACATCCAAAATTTACTTTCGTGTTGCAAATGTTTTCAACTCTCAACGAACGAATAAATAAAAAATACAATAAACGCACCTCAATTTTATTTATTTGGTGAGATGCTGGATTATGTTTGGATTTAGAACGAATTTTACATGCATAATACAACTTTTTATTTTTTATCCTGTGCACCATATCGAGAGCCGAATGATTATCTGCACCAAACTTGAGGCAATTCATTGGTTTATTTTCATCGGACTGTGAAGATTTTAAAGGGCGTGTGTGAAATCACATGCCACTGATTGAAATTTTCGTTATGTGGAAAGGATTAAGTTTTTGCTCCTTAATAAACCGGTTATTTGCTATGGATATGGATGCTGTGTGTGTGTGTGTGCAGGGGTGTAAAAACTGATTAAAACGCAAACCTTGGACTTGAATTATATTCATTTGGTCTTTAGAAAACCTACAATCGTTTGAAGGTCTTTTGTGCAAACTGGTAAAGGCCACAGCACCACAACATTTCTTAAATATTTATTAGCGCATTTGATCAGGTCGTAATTGAATGCGCTCGCGATAATTGCTTCCCAGCAGAATCTCCGCGCGCTCTGGAGCACAAGAGCGTTTCGCCAAAAGAACCCGGTCCCGGAGCGATATCGCCTCTTCTGATTCGGTAATGACGGGGGTGGGTCTGGGTTAATGGGTCAAAAGCGGGAGGGAGGCAGCCGTCAGGCACCGGGCCATTAAAGAAATAGCTGGAGAAAAACAAGGGCTCGGCAAAGCTGTTTAGATGAACGCATTTTTTACGTCCTAATTTATGACAAACCTCTGTTATGTTTTGTATTCATTTAGATTAAAATCATCAGTTATATGACAAATACATCACAACTTAAATACAATTTAGGCTACTGAGAAAGCTTTACGTTAGTTTTAGATAGTTATTTTTAACTGTTATTAGCCTATTATTATATTTAGGCCTATTAGCCTATACATTTATTAATTTAGTTGGTCCTGTTATTAAAATAAAAACGGTGTTAAATGATTCAAACTAAACGAATCTAATTATTTAAATGAAAAGAAAGCGAATTAGTAGCCTACACCAGAAAGCATGAGAAGCTCATTTCCTTCAGTCAAGATTTGTTTTTTGCTGGACTGTCCTCCAAACGAAGAATTTTCTCTCGGTTCATGAGGCGGATAGGACGCTTCCATTACTGCTGTACGAGGCAATCCACTCTTGCCTTGCTGATATGCTCATATGTCCACATGTCACCCGAGTGGGACGGCTCGTCCACAATTGGCACCATATTATTACATGTGAAAACTGTAAAAGAGATTACGGACCAAAACCATTAATGGGAAAACGGAAGTGTGATGAGCGAAGGGTTTGCTGAGATGGTGAGATGCTGACTCCAGGCCTCTGTGAGTTACAGAAACGCTGAGGGTGGGAAAACCACCAGAGGGATTTATTCCTACAGTACTGACGCTGAGGTCTTAGGAACAGATGACAGACGCATTATGGCTGTCAGGATGGACACTTGCTGAGCTCATATATAGCTTTATCTAACAACTTAAATACAATTTAGGCTACTGAGAAAGCTTTACGTTAGTTTTAGATAGTTATTTTTAACTGTTATTAGCCTATTATTATGTTTAGGCCTATTAGCCTATACATTTATTAATTTAGTTGGTCCTGTTATTAAAATAAAAACGGTGTTAAATGATTCAAACTAAACGAATCAAATTATTTAAATGAAAAGAAAGCGAATTATTAGCCTACACCAGAAAGCATGAGAAGCTCATTTCCTTCAGTCAAGATTTGTTTTTTGCTGGATTTGAATATAAAATAAATTATTATTTTTAAGTATTTTGGCCTTTTATGTGAAAGGCACGTTTTGCTTGGAGTAGCTATTAAGTTGCCTAAACTTTTTGATATTGCAGAAAAGAAGTGACATATTTGAACAGAAATTACCTTGAAAAAAGTTCGAAAACGTTTTTGAAGATTTTATTCATTCCCAAGAATTAAGATGCAACGTAGGCTAAATACTTGGTTTAACCACTTGACATTTTGAGTCAATTAAAAAAAGGAAGGAATAAATCTAAAATAAAATGGAAAATTGTGACATTGAACGACTTTCTTTATATGAAAGAAGCTATAAACACAAAAAGCTTTACTGTGACAGAGGCAGGAACAGCTCTCCGTTAATGAATTTCACCACTCGGGTGTTAGTTGACAAAACAGTGCAATCTAATCTGAGTGGTGACATAATTGATCTTAATAGCAGCAATTAAAATGGGAGCAGTTAATTAACTCTTAATTGAGCAAAGAACAGTTTGTCGAGTTCATTTTTCTCACATCAAACGACCAGACTGTGACCACCTCACCGTCTGAAAGATGGCGCTGGATGAACCCCGAGGCCTCGCGCAGCCGCTGATGCGCCAGTGAAAACCAGTTCGCCCTCTGCTTACACAGACAGCCAGGACATGAACACTAACCGTGGATAGCTGATTGTATGTGCAGATTTGATCAGTAGGCTATGTGGAGCATGACAGCTGCTTCAATTAGACGTCAAGATCTCTGATCAACTGTGAAGAGCACTAGAGTCATGAACACTACACTTTTACTTACCATAGCAGAAGTAAAACTTCGGTTAAAAGTTTTTTTTTTTGATATATTAAAAGAGAATAGAAGCAGCATAAACTCAATGTCCTCATAAACTACAAAATACACAAACATGATCAGATCATCTAAGCTCTCTTATAACTCATGAAAAGAAGTTAACAATGCTTCTGGATGTTATGAAAGAAGCTCATCATCTATCAAACACAATTATGTGCCAATCAAATCTCAACATTTTTGCCAAAAAGACTGTTTGATCCAAAACATTTTCTTAGTTTGACTCAACACAGGATTACAAGGTTGTCATTCACAGAAAAACTGTGATCTCTTCAATAATCCTGTGTGATTATAAGTTTCTAAGCTTTAGTCTGAGCTGTTGAAAATGGTTCCTGGCACACAATCAGTGACTGGAGGCAAGACTAATTAAAAAAACAATATGAATATAATTCAAATAAGACCGATGCCTCTTGAAAACTGCTAGATAATCAGATTAACACATTAATAATGGTGAGTTGTCTGATCGATTATCATAATTGATGCACAAATCAAATGCACAGACACTAAATATAGCATATTATACACTCCTAAAAATAAAGGTTTCAAAAGGGGGATTTCAAAGTGATGCCATAGAAGAACCATTTTGGGTTCCTCAAAGAACCTTTAAGTAAATAGTTCTTAAAAGAACCATTTTTTTCTTAGTGTGAAGAACATTTTAATAATCTAAAGAACCTGTTTGCCATTAAAGAACCCATAGATATACAGTGGTGTGAAAAAGTGTTGGCCCCCTTCCAGTTTTTTTTAATTTTTTGCATATCTGTCACACATAAAAGATTCAGATCCTCAAACAAAGGACGTCAATAGGGAACCTCTGTTTTTACAGTAAAAAATGTATTTACATGTAAAGCAATGTTTAAAATATGCTTTCAAATGATACAGTGATGACAGAACTTAACTGATATTTCCTTAAAACGTGCAATAGACGGACATAAAAACAGAGGTGACAACACAAAATCTTCCTCTCCTGACCCTTCCTCCATTTCCAGCATGAATTCATATTTATATATCTTGTATATATACTTAAAAAAAAGAAAAAGAAAATCCTCTTAGAATGCAGAGTAAATAGATTACGATACAGTGAGGGATTATGGATGGCTGGGTGCTGTCAGATTAAGTTCGGAGAGCAGGCCGGCGACAGTTCTGACATGGCCGCTGTGTATGAAGACTGTGGGGGGAAAACGGCAGCCTCCTCTTTAGAGACACGCGCTGCGTATCCCTCTGCATTTCTTCTGCTTGTAATCTCATACACCAAACAGGTGGAGAATTAAACCCAGCCCACAAGCCGCACCACTGATCCTGTGATCAAGGACAGGGATAGTAGTGTGGCCTCTGTGCCACCATTCTCAAAGAAAGTGAAGTGTTACTAAAATAAAAAAAGCTGTTTGCACAGACTCTCAAACATCCATTCTGATAGTGTGATAGTGACTGGCACGAGCTGGAATGCTAAGGCAATATATGTAACCGAAAGAGCCGTGGAAAAGTAGGTTAGAATTTTTTTTTTTACTCTGTGCTGTTGCGCTTAGACTGTGCAGTACTGGCCATAAACAGGATTTTACGACCCCTTTTCCAAGATAGAGTGTGACAAATTATGTGACATGAAATTCTTTAACAAACACTGTGCATCAAGCTAAAAAGTAATCAAAACAGAATCAAAAGAATTGCAAAAATATGTTTTATTTAAAAGTAGTTTTTATAGTTTAAGCACATTTAATCTGTTACACTGGTTCTTTTAGTAAAAAAACCCTTTTATTCTATCGTAAAAAAGTACTATTCATTGCACAAATAAATGTCTATTTACACTAAACCAAAATGAATAACTTTCAGTTTCCCCTCCTCAGGCACCTATAAGTCACAAAATATGAATATCATTATTACAACTATCAGCGAAAACTGCAGTAATAGATATTATACATGTCATTAAAAATGTAATACAATAATAAAATATTTTAGAAGTGAAATTATGACTAAAGAATATTCATATATAATAATAGAAATATTCTGCTCAATTTTAGAAATAACACCTGGCAGAACTGATTTGTCTACATGCATCAATTACAGGACAGTAAAAAGTTAACAACACAGTAAGAAATACACCATATTATTATAGAAATGTAAATCATTACCTGGGTGTTCCGGTCAACAAGGTTGATTTCTAAAGAGAGAAAAGCATTGAAAATTACATAAAAGTGTCCTAAAAAGTTTTAAGCTCTACTTCAACTCATCTGCTTGCATGTCACAGCGCCACCTTTCTGCAACCACACCTGAATCAGGTGATCAGATGAGCACCAATCACTCAGTAATCTGCTGTAAATGTACTGTATGTACGAGTGGGTGGAAGAGTTCAAGCATCCTCTGCAGCTCAACTGGAGGAGGGTTTCTCCATGGTAAATTATGAGTGTGCCATTAGCATTCAGGATTATGCATGTATTAAAATTCTGATGTAAATGTCTGTAATAGCCTACAGTCTGTACTGTCCAATAAATATGTATGGGAAAAAGTTAAATTATTCTGTGGACAGAAAAGAATAAAACATTCATGTTTTAGGATGATTAGCTAAGTACAATACAAGCAGAAAAAAAGGCAGTCAACTTGAACCTATTTTTGAGAGGGCAAAACAGAAGGGAAGATATCACTCTCAGGGCATTAATGAGGGAATTATCTACGGCAGTAGAGCTCTGTGTAAAACACACAGTCAATATAAATTATAACCATAAAGCTCAACATGAAAAACAAGCTGTACGCCTTGATCCGAATACTGAGAACAATGTAGTCATTCAACCCTGTTACTTTTATATCTACTTTGAGAACTGTATTCAAAAGAACACACCTGTGTGTTTCCAAGGCCAGGTGCGATGACTTGTCAGGGCGTTCGAGAACTCGTCCGTAGCCTCGGAGGTTGACGTTTCTCTGGCCCTAATGCAGACAAAAGAGACTGGAATCATGTTTTTCATATATGACTGACTAAAGAAATCTCTCTAACCCCGTACGGTCAGACTCAAGAGCAGTTTTACATATGCACTGCTAACTGTCCATGCTGTATGGAAATATTCTGGTCGTCTGCATTCAGAAAGATGAATGCTTCACAGGATCCAGCATTACTATCCTGTTCACACTAATATCAATGTGTACTAGCATTCACAGCAGACGGATCTGGATCTCTTTCACACACACACATCAGGTCCGACCCTCAACAGGGAGAAGCTACGTGTGGGAGTCAGGCATTTCCCATGATTCCATGGGTATTCCATGAAAAACACGCTGCCACCGTACGGCGTGCCATCAAATCCAGCAAGCGTGTAAGACCGTGTGAATGTTATCAGTCGTATTGTGGGCTGTGCGATTTGGGTTTTCTGCGGCGACTGGCGATGGAGACGGGGTCCAATTTCTGTGCTTTTTCTATTTCCTTTAGTGATGCACAGCGCTTACAAGGAATCGAGGGAGGAGGAGAAAAAGAGGCCTACGGGGCGCAGCCCACACCATACAAACAAGCGAACAAACATATACACATTGCTACACATGTACAGATGCACTCAGATGCAAAAAGTGTCACAAGTCCAAGAGCTGGAGCGTGTCTTTCTGAGTGCTCCGAGTGTGTATGTGTGAGAGAATGAAAGGACACGTCAACAGATGTGTGTCGGGATGTTTTCCAGATATCTGCATCTTTGCCTCTCTCCCTGTGCAGGGCTGGATTTAGTACAACCGACGGTGATGCCACCAAGTCATTGTACTCCTCTTCTCGCTCACTCTCCCGATCTTTTTTTTCTTTGCCAGCACAACACAGGCATGAAGCTTGAATCAGTGTCTCTAAGCCTTATTGGCTCGGCATAAGAAACAATAAAACTTCATCGGAGACCAGATTAGTCTGGTTAAATAGAATTTTTAAAAATATCCAAAAAACAAATACAAAAAGGAAAAATGAGAAGAGGCTTTCCGCTCTCTCTCGACTGCTATTTATCTGGGTGGGAGTATCTCCCTCTGATGTCTTGTATGCAGTCGAGTAGCAGTACAGGCCTGAAAACTGGGATTCCAGCTGCCAAATTACCCAAAACTCCTTATTTTATGTTTTAAAACCCGTTAATCCCACGCCATGCTCTTTGGGCCGTCCGCTCGGAACTGGCTGATGGGAGAGGCATGATTTGAAGGAGATCGAGAGAGCTTAAGTGGGACAGAAAGAAAGAGAGTCAGCACAGTCAATGGTCCCTCCATCAACAGCAATGGAAGCAGAGAGAGAGGATAAGACAATAGGACAACCCTCATGTAACACACACACACACACACACACGCGCACTCACTCTACACACTCCTTGTGATGCTCCAGGCCAAACTTGAACTACACATACTAGAAGAGTGAGTATGGGTGTTTGCTCAAAATATATGTTTGACATGAGTTTAAATGTATAGTTCACCCAAGAAATAAAATGTAGTCATTATTTACATCCCTCAAAGCTGTATGCTTCTAAGAATCTTCACATAGTTATTTTCCATATAATGTCAATTTTGCCAAATTTATATTGTTAATAACTGAATGATTGACCTTGACAAATGGATCAGTTCAATATCTGACAAAATCATTCTTTTCAGAAAGTTCTTTTCAATTAACTTGTTCATCAAACTGAGCAATTCGTTCTCAAACGGTTCTCCAGTTCAGCTCACAGAATCAAGGCTCCAGTCAAGGCAGTTCTTAAGATTATTAACAAATAATGACTTAAATTTCACAAAGCTATCGGCTCTTACCACATAGCATGCGAGTTGTATGGAATACTTTGGAGACTTTACTATGGAGTCTTTATGCTTAGGAGTTTGAAATCGAACTGAACTGTCATTGTATAATAAAGTAATAAGCCTCAAGAAGCCATGGTTTACTAATAATTGATAACAAGTAATGTCCAGAAGAATGGCTGCCAAACACATAGACAGCAACACAGACACAAAGGAGCAGTAATACTGATGAAATGAGATCACAGGTGTGTGTTTATCGAGTATTTTACAATTGCCTTGAACACGGCTCAGCCAACCACAATCAAGGACCGGAACTATTACTTTTACTATCACATTCTCCAAAAACATCTACTTCTGTGTTCCACAGAAAAAATAACAGCATATGGTTGGCAAAGATATGAAGGTAAATAATGACTAAATTTTAATTTTTGGGTGAACTATCCATGCTGGAAGACAGACCAGTTTTTGGCATTTTTAATGTATCAGCTAACAATTTAATCGGTAACACTTTAGTAAAGGGACCATTTCTCAGTATTAACTAGTTGCTTATTAGAAATAATATTAACATATTGACTTTATTGGTACTTATAAAGCACTTATTCTGCATGACCATTTTCTGCATCCTTAGTCCTACCCAATACATAAACTTAACAACTACCTTACTAAATAAGCAGTAAATTAGGAGTATATTCAGGCAAAAGTCGTAGTTAATTGTTTGTTAATGGCAATAATTGGACCTTAAAATAAAGTGTGACCATATGAATAATGAATTTAAAAAACACACACACCTTGATGCATTGCTCCAGTGTTCGGGGTCGTGATCATGCCTCTCGCTGATGGTTGATGGTTTGACTCCACTCTGCCCTTCGTACGGTGACTGACACTCATCTGAAAATCACACACAAAATCCCACCATGCCCCGAGGGAAACAGTTTAACATGTAGAATCTTTGAAATGTAGAAGCTCTTCTGTATGAAGCAGAGAGAGAGAGCGAGAGACAGAACATGACACATTGTGTAATACATGGGCGTCTTATACACGACTCTCCCAGACAGAGACAGTGAAGGTTACACATAACAAGAGACCATAAGTGAGACTTGATCTCAGGGAACACCCTACAGCACAGCAGTGTGTGCGTCTGCGTCTCGTGAGCTATAAGATGATCCCTCTCATACGCTCTTCTCAGAGTCCTCCTTTACAATTGACTCTCTCACCAAATCAACACACTCCTCAATAAGACAGTGAACACTGATCCTCTTCTGTGACAACAAAGCAACGGTGGAAGGATGGAAAAAGAGACAGACAGACAGACAGCGAGAGAGACTACATAACGTCTATGCAGGGAGATCCAGAAAAATAGGGGGGATACTTTTCAAAAATTTAAATGATTAGGGCTGTTCATTTAATTCATTCATTGAGTATAAATAGTTTTAAGAAAATTACACCATAAAAATTCTGCAATTATATGAATTTAATTTAATCATCCTCCCAGACCTTTGGAATGATAGAGCTGTTTTATAATAATAGTTTTTGATTTGTATAAAATGGAAGTATATTTATATATATATATATATATATATATATATATATATATATATATATATATATATATATATAAATAAATGTTTTTTAGATATTAAAATAGTGCACACTGATTGTAGGCCTGTGAGAGGCTTATGCAAAATTTACCTGAAAATCCAAATTTCGTTTACATAAAATTATTTGCAATTAATTATTTCATCAGTGTATCATGTAATTAAATTGATGACATTCATTTCATATTGGTTTAAGGGACTACATGGACAACACTTGCTAAACTGTCAGTTAATAATCATCCAGAATCAGCTACAGCAGATCAATACCATTAAAGCTGTTTTACACTTTGAGCTTTGTTTTATTTATGAGAATGGCCATATAATGTGTGAATAGTAAGTCACTTTTAAATTTTTGGGGTGTGTGTATCCTTTAGAGTCATGGTTGGTTGACAGTGTGAGACATTCGCTTCAGGCTGGCCAAATGTAAACAAGACACCTTTGTCTTTTTAATGCACAGCACAGCACAATGCCGAATCCTACCGCGCTCATTCCCTATTTATGATACCCCACACTGCCCTACAGAATTTCCTCTAAATATTCCTCTATTCCACAATAATCCCTGCACATAAACACACAATATCAGCACCTCAAAGAAGCTATTGACCTGAAAACGTACACAGAGCTGACAGAAAAGAAAAAGAGAGAAAAGGGGTATCTTGCACTATAAAAAAAAATCTCAGGCAATGACTTATAATTGCAACAATTTTAACTATTAACAGCGGTAGAATGCCCCCAAACAGACTATTTTGCCCATCCGTTCCTTTTACATTCACACTCTTAAGCACTTCCTTCCAAGGCTAAGGTCTGCTCGGGGTGAGAGAGCAGGGAAATCATCAAGGACATAATTAAGAGGCTTATGGGCAGACAGGGTGGGAAACACACACACACACACATACCCTCAAGTTTTCACCCCCTTATTAGAAGCTAAACACCTCCCTTGTCTCATCTGTACACCTGTTAGCCAAACCACTTCTGTCCGTCCCTCATCCCCCTCTTACTTTTCCTTTCTTTCTACTGCTCTCTTTCATTTGAACGAATGCCCATCCTGCTGGCCGAGGAAATGTATGTTGAACAGCACGTGGGACGTCCTCATCAGGTCAGCAGGAAACAGAATATCAGAGCTGAGGTCAATGGACTTTAAACCCGTCCTATTCAGCCAATTAACAACGTGAATGAATCAAACTCTCTCTACATCTGCACAGAGCGCTCCAAAAAAACCCTTCAAATAGTCAAATATAATTACATAAGAGATTAAAAATGACGAAACCTAATGACTTTTTTTAATTTCCCAGTGGTGCCATCACCAGAGTCACATGTGCCTTACGTCATATCATGAAAGACCGAATGAAATTAACAGTGTATGTGCTTTTTCAGAGCTAGAGTAAATTCTGCTGCGACACGCCACATGCAAATGACTGGAGATGGAAAAAATGGAACATTTCTGAAATAAGCCATTTTTCTGTGTCAAAATAATTGTACCTATCATAGCTTAATATGTTTGATTATACAATGGAAGATGAAGGGGATGAGGCCAGGAAAACCTGTTTGAAAACAGTCAATACTATTGCAATTCCAACTGGTGACCAAGGTGCTTTTACCCTGCAGCATTTATTTTAATTTTTCTAATAGAGTAAATGAAAACACGCAGATAATGAGAGTTTATGAGTGATAATTTTGCACTTGTAAACACTAATCATCACACATCAATAGGAGATTTTGGAGCATTTTTTTTGCAACTAACATTATGTGAATAATTCTCTCACCTGGTGCCGATGTTTGTGCCTCTGCGTCTATTTCATTAGCCTTCTTCTTGGCTACAGAGGCTAACACCACCTCACCCTTATCTGCTGCCACGTAATGGAGGTCCTTTGAAGGTAAAGCAGAACAGCAGAGCAATCTAAAATTAATCTCAGCTCACATGACAATAAGTTTTTTCCCTTTTTCATTTTTGCGCTCTGCTCGAAGAGAGAGAAGGAGCGAAGAGAGGCTGCAGGAGAAAGAGAGAGAGAGAGAATACATAAAATAACCTGTTTGAAGTTTCAGAGGGGGAAAAAAAACAGATAAAAGTATTTTCAAACTTTCAAAAATCAGATTTGCTCATTTGTTCAGTTGCCTTTATGTTGTCCTCCCTCCTTTTCTCTTTCTCCCTGAACTCTGACCGGATGCAATCATACTGGTTTCAAAAAGCACAAAGATGTGGCGAAAGGCATGTGTCATCTTTTTAAAAGCAGGAGCGATGCTCTTCATGTCGGAATAGAGTTTAAACTATTGTCATTACGAGCAGGTGGGTGTGTGAGGCACACACATCCACACACTCACTCTTGCTCTTTCTCTTAAATATGAGCCCTCTCATCCCAGAGAATAGACTATAATATATCTATTATAGAGCCTCATGCAGTCAGGAGACCTCCATTAACCCACAAACATGTTTTTAAATGTCACACCATTAGTCCCACCAAAATGGATGCCGGATTGAGACGTATAACAGAGATAAAGCACAACCGACCGCTCAGAGAATGTGAACAATGACACTAGATGTGCTTTACTGACAGAACCCTTTGGTGTATTAAAGTAAAAGTCTTTTTTTTATCATAAAATAGTTTTAACAAGTAGTTAATTCCAGAATAAACTACAGAGAGAGGCCTACCAACACAGTGGTAAATTCACTATAGAAAGGCTTATTGCTTTCACAAAATGAAGCAACAGAAAATATGTTAAAATATGTTGGCAAATAATTGCAATAATTAAAAACCAAAATCCCAAACTAATACTGCCTAGTAATAGCTCATCAATCAATCAGTTACAAGGAGTGTAATAAGTCTTTGAAAATATAAAATAAAATAAAGTAAAAGTAAAAGTAAAAGTAAAATAAAATAAGTAGAATAATTTTGATACACTTGAAAACTTGTCTGCTTAAGATAATTAATATTTAGTCAGATTTTCATGTATACCATTAATTTCACTCATCCAATCAAATTTAAGACCCAGAGCTATGTGAAACAAATCTGATGTAGTATGCATATTGTACCATGTGGTATAAAACTTTCTCAGTGAACAGAATATCCTTATGTTTCAGTCGAGAAGATCCTCAGATGTTCAGACACGGTGGAAGAACTTATAATAATGTAATTGACAGGCTACATTTGACCATCTTGAAGGGGCCCATTCATGGGTAAATTAAAGTGAAAGTTGGGCGAGGAGCTCAGTGCTGTCTCCGAACTAATAAGATCCTCTCTCTTTCTGTCCGTTTAAACGCTAAACCCATCCTTCCGCTTCGGGGACATCAGTCAGAGCTGCAGCGAGATGCAGGGAGGGTGAATGCAGCATAGTCAGACCTGCAGAGCACTAATGCCTGTATTGTCAACCAGCCTCTGCAAGTCTGATCAAATGAGGGGAGGGGGATAAGAGTGACTTACAAACATCAAACAGGACTTGATTTAGCTCTTCACAGGCTCAGGGATGAGAGCCAATAACCTCACGATTCAAACAATGATTCTTCTTTTTAAACGAAACAATCACAGGCTACCAGACATTAAAAAGTCTAAATTAACATTTAGGAGCCAAATGGCTTTTTACTTGAGAAAATACAGAATCACTCAATTATGATGGTATAATATTTTACCTCTTTAAAAAAAAAAAAAAATACTGAGTTTAGGATTAAACCTCACAGTTTTATTCCAAAACAAATTTAATCTTCCAATCAATTAAAAATTACAAACTCAATACTAAACTTTATGCTAAACAATGACCAATATTTTTTGCCATGTTTTTTAGAATACCACTTATTGCAACAAAACTCTGTTGTGAATACATATATTTAATTACAAGTAATGATTCTCTGCCCAGCTTGAATTGGACATAACTGAAAATGTATTCCTGATTTACTGAGTCAACTGCAAACTCAGTAACAGCTCTAAACGATTCAGTGAATCTGATTCAAATCTCAAACTACCATAGGAATTTGAGACTGTTTCATGAATCTTTTTGAGCGACTCATTAAAAAGAACCTGTCCATAAGCTGTGTATTTTAAGAACCTCTACATTTCTATAACCACATGCATAAGAGGAAAAATCAGATGCAACAATAAAGATAGAGAAGGAAAACGAAAGAGTGCCAAACACTGGATATTAGCATTGCATCTGAAGACCTCTATTTTAGCTTAGCAGAACATAATGCTTTCTGAGCCAGAAAGACAGACAGATTGAAAAAAAGAGGAAGGCCAGGAAACAGAGAGCCAGACGGAGAAAAAGCGACTGAATCCAGACGTCTAAGAGGGATGACAATAATTCTGTACATAAATCAGATATTATACCTCTTATTCACCACAGCTTACACAGGACACCGGATCTGGTCTAATCTTATTTATTTAAGAGCTTTAAGAGCTCAAACGCAGATAAACGGCCTTTTAGTGTTATTTTTGACTGGAGAGGCATATGGAGACAGGATAAACAGCTGGTCCAGCGATGATGCTTGATATTCGCTCGACGTCAGAAAAGAGTTTAAAATTAACATGGACCAGTGGAGCAGAGCAAGAGAGAGAACCATTACATGCGCAACTGCGCATTTACGCTGACACATGTGCGAAAACAATTCTGGAGGATCACACCTGTAATCCACGTGAGTGTTTGAGGAAGGTGTTTATCAGATACACGAGAGGGTCTTACAGAGTTCATTATCCATCTCAACACAGAAACCAGCCAATATCAGCTCTGTGCCGCACATCATGTCTAATCGTTGATATTAACACGGGCCCCCTCCGTTTCCAGCAAACACACGCCCCATTAACCAACAAAGCAAGCATATGATCACAATTATGATCTAATTAATTAATCGGCAGATCAAAAACAAAAAAAAAGCACAGGAACGAGAAAAGTCAGTGAAATACGGCTAAACGAATTAGCACAGACTCTATCAGGGTTCACATCAGAGGATAATTACAAGTATAGAATGTTACAATTATGCAAAACACTCCAGTGAATGAGTGGAGGGGCAACCCTGCCCTCCCTCTCCCTTCTTCTCTACCCCTTTGGGTGACTCCGACCCCTCCAATTTCTTCCAACACCAAAGTGCTTCACTTCACAAAAGAAAAGAAAGAGAAATTCTTTCGGTGCTCCATTGTTGGTTCGGAGACAATGGAGACTCGAGCCCGGCTCATACTGGGTGCTCTTACATGGGGCTCCTTCCGTTTTGTTTCATCTGACCTTTGTGACATCGAGGGGAACAGATCAGATGGAGCAATGACCCCCGCTCGTTCTCTGCCTTTCTCTTGCTTTCTTTCTCTCCCTCTCTCCTGTGGGTGGTTTAATTTAACTTCTGTGGCTAATTAGCCAAGAGCCAAAACTGCAGGGTGAAACGCCACTGCCTTCTCTCTCTCTGTTTCTCTGCCTTTAGCTCGCTCTCTCTCTGCTCTTTGTTGATTCACAAGGACTGATATTCATGGGCCATTCATAATTTGCCACTTTCGTCTCTCTCATCCTTTCTCTTTTGCGTTTTCCCAGTGCATGTCCCAAGAATAACAGATCCAGGTTTCCTTTGCCCTTCTCTCTCTCTCCCTCCCTCCCTCTCTTCTCTGCTCTTTCAGGCTTGTGTGGCTCGAGCTCCACCTTTTCAATTGGGGCCCTCAGCAGCAGCACTTAGTGGGGAATGAATTGGAACGAGTGCGATCGGCGTGAAAGAAGGAGGGAGAGAGAGGAACTGCATGAAAAAAGGACAGAGAGAAAGAGAGAGACAGCGGCCGGAGTGAACGCTAATAGGGAAGGTGTCACTCGGGCATGGAGAGAGGAGGCCTAGAAAAGGGGTCACACACACAAGACCATTTAAAGGAGTGAGAAAGGAGAGGGAGAGAAAAGATAGTGAACCGGCCACGAGAGCTGTGAAAGACAGACTCCCTCACTCTTTTTCTTCCACACCCCCCTCCCTCTTTCTCTTAGCAACTGTTGCTCTCCGGAGTCTCTGGGATTCTTGTTATGGTATAGGAGAGAGGGGACGTGACATGGCCAGGGGCCTCAAACCCAGAGCTGCACCTGCCCAGAGCCTCTCAGTCCAAAACAGAGCCAACTCAAAGGTCTCTGAATGTGTAACCCACCCATAACTAAACTATTGTCACAGACAATGGCAACACATTTTTAAGTTCATTTTAAAACATATTTTTAATTTATACCTTGTCACAATATTAACTTAATGAATCTTTTTAATGATCACAGATTAATTTATTTTTAAATACATAAAAAGCTATGATTATGCTAACTTATAAAGACTTAATTAAATTAGTTAAAACATGCTTTCTGCTTGCATTTTTGAACATTTTCATATGTACAAAATGTACATTACTATTCAAAAGTTTGGGACAGTAAGAGTTTTATAATGTTTTTGAAATAGGTTTCTTATGTTCACCAAAGATGCATTTATTTGATCAAAAACAGTAAAAAAAAAACTGAAATGTTACATGATCCAGAAATCATTCTGATACGTTGATTTGGTGCTCAAGTACCAATCTTATTATTATCAATGTTGAAAACAGTATTGCTGCTCAACATTCCTGATACCTTTGTTTTAGGATTATTTGATGAAGAAAAAGTTCAACATTTATGTGATTACAAATGTCTTTACTGTAGCTTAATTTAATGTGTTCTTGCTGAATAAAATTATTTATTTAAAATAAAATATTACTGATCCCATACTTTGAAGGTAACCCCAATCTAGGGTTTGTGAACTCCTAGAGGTTTCTAAAGCTGAATTTTTGTGAGTTGATAAAAATCTAATAATTAAATAATAATGTAAAATTAAAATAAAAAGACAAAAACAAATAAATAAAACTTAAAATAAAAACACTTACTAAAAAAGACAGAATATAAAAAAATGTATTTACCTGCATTTCATGTGACCATTAACCGACATCTGACAGAACCGTCAACATGCAAACGTGTTATCAAGTTATTGAAAAATGAACTAAATTGAGATATTTGTTGTATTGTTTTGTTGCCATTGTATGTGCATGTCTGAAAGTGTGTGCTCACCATGAACAGATCTCTCGCACCGATATCTACAGCCAGCAAGAAGGCTTTTTCAAACCTCTGGTGTCTGGAAGAGAGAAGTCAGAAGCATTGCAAAGCCATTTCTGAACACCTGACTGACTGCTGATTTTTATTTAATTATTGTTTTCAACTGAAGAGGAATTAATCAGATGAAGGAGGTGGTGTGTACTGTATGTAGAGTGTGTGTTATGTGTGTACCTGAGCAGGTGATGGAAGAATCGGCGGGCGTATCGGCTGATGGGATCTCTGTACTCCAGTATGACAGTGTTTGAGAGGGGTCTGCAGGGGGCATAAAACATCCCCAGCACAGCTTCCAACTGACCTGCAATCACACTCAACAGGATCAAATATGTACAAGCAGTGGCCCCAATCCGTTCTCATTGCATTACATACAAAATATCAAACAAAGTGAAATCTGCAAACAAATTATACTAGAGCATTTCTCAAAACAAAACTTCAAGGTGGTAACAGTGACTTCCTTTAGTTAGGACATTAGCTAGGAATGTTAATGATGTAAAGCAAACTTTTAACAACCACAAAGTGTCAAACTACTTTTACTTTAATTCTGAACCATACATATATGTTTTATAGTGGTCCATGGTCCTATTAGCTATCGTTCTCAGCACCAGAGCACATAACGAGATTTAAATTTATTTTGAAGAGTAAAGACCTTTTTGATTCTAAGCTGCACTTTCCCTGACACTAATTAAGTTTAGGTTTAGTCTCTGTTCAGAAATCAAAGCCTGCAGGTCTGGAGTCTTTACCTTCAGTTTGCTGGTCCAGTGGTTTTCTCAGCAGGTGATCTGTGATGGAGCTGAGTGACCTGTAACACTCTGCTCCCATCATGGCCCAGTCCATATTACCCAGAATTCCCAGTGCTGTGTTCACCTCCTCACAGCGCAAACGGTGCTGTACCAGATCACCTGGGCCTAGCTGAGCCCCATTGAACACACCTGCACATAGAATAAATACATGTTATTGGTGTTATTGAATGGTTGTGAAGTGACACATATGAAATATATGATGACTGAAGCAGACTTAAAAGAAGCAAATACTGTAGGAAAGTCCAAAAGTTACAGTATTTCCATCAAATACTAGACCTAATCGACTCAATCCCTTTCCATTACTGTCCCATTTTTGTTATGTTATATTATAAACAAAAATAATATTTGGAATTTTCACAATTCCACAGAACGGAGAAAGCGAGAAAGAGGTTGTGGAAGCTCTGAATCATATGAGGAGGGAGATCTTTAGAGGCGACGCTCTGTAAGATTGCCATTGACATTTGGATCGATCTTCAGTCTGTGCTCTTTCCCTGTAGCACTGTTGAGAGGTGTGTGTGTGTGTAAGAGAGAGAGAGTGAGCACTGAACTGTGACACACAGCAAATGCAGTCGATTCAGGTTAAACATACTCGTTGGTGTGGATACGGCTGACAGTTAGTTTAGTGAATTACCTTTAAGAGAAATGGCAGATGCTTTAAAAAATGCCATATACAGCAGAGAATCAACCAGAGAGGGTTGAGCAGCTGAATGGATATCTAAGCTAATGGAGCTAATGGATGAACCTTCAGCTGTTTACAAAGCTTCTTATATGTGCATTTACCTAAAAGACAATCACACACTATTTTAACCACAAAAGGGTCATACAGATTAGTTTTCTTCAAACTGGTCTAAATGTAAAAATTAAGGCTCGACTGATAAGGATTTTTTTAACAGCTGATACTAATACAGTTGTCTATAGAGATTAGGGTGTTAGATGCCAGATATCATGCTACTATATGATAAAATACAATTTTTGAAGGCAAATGAGATGAGGACAATAAACACTAATTTTACATCATGATGATATACTTTGACATACATTACCATTTAAAGGTTTGTCGTTTTCGAAAAAAAGTCTCTTATTCTCACCAAGGCTGCATTCATTAAATCAAAAATACAGTAAAAACAATATTACTGTTGAATATGATATAAATTCCAAATCCAAACGGTTTTTTATTTGAAAATGTAATTTATTCCTGTGATGGCAAAGCAGAATTTTCAGCAGCCATTAATTGAGACTTCAGTGTCACATGATATTTAGGAAATCATTCTAATATATCAATTGACTGATCTCAAATTTTTTAATGGTAGTGTATATAATGGTATTAATTATTATATATGTACAAAATTTACAATACTTTAAAAAATCTGTTGTTGTTATAGGCCCTGCATAGTTTTTGTTACTGTTGTTACTTTATCAGCTATTATCTTTAATATCTTCAGGTGAGTGCTAAATTTACAGTAGTTTCAGATTTCATAGTGCGTCAAGAGCATTTCATATATTTAACCACTAAAACTTTTCCTTGCATTTCACACACACACACATTCATTCTTCTGTATCCGCTGCCCTCTCTCTTTTCCTTTAATTCCTGTTCTTTTTCTTTCTCTCTCAGACACATCTTTCTATTTCTAACTCTCATCTGTCTGTTCTCTTGCTAACTTTCTGTGAATGTTAGTGTCGGTGATCACAATGAACAGTAATCACCTGAGGCGGTTGACACCCGTAAAGGTGGCTTTAATAATGTAACAGAGCTTAATCCAGCCATACTGGATCTGCTTTTGAACGGCACACTCAATCACAGCTACGCTTAACCTTGCTCACTTCTCAACAGGAGACCATTAGCACAGCCACGAAAACCACACGCACCATAATATTATTGACAAACACCACACAAACCGAGAAATATGTTGCCTATCAATAAAACAACCCCTCAAGACCCTCTGTATTCATGATTCCTGAAGTCTTAAACATGAAGGAACCTGCACATAACACAGCAAAGTAAAGTAAATGACCCATGTTTGTTATCTCTTTCTGTTGCTAAACCAATTTTAACTCCCCTCTTGGACAGAAATCATCTCCTGTGGACGTTGAGAGCAGAAGGAGGCACGATTTTGCGGCAAATAAAACGACAGCCACCATTTTTTTGTAAGTGAATTTGGTAAGGAGGTCAGGTAGGGTCCAATTAAAACTGCATGTGGGAAATTAACAGGCCGCCTCCCACAAACCCCTGAAGAGTGAACTAATGTGACTAATAACAGTGTGGAGAGAAATTACAGAAGTCAGCACAGACACAGAAGAGCTGCAGAGAGACAAAACAAATTGAAAAAGAAAAGGCTGAGGATGAAAAGTGCACCGATTAACAGTTAGTTTACACATATATGGTTTTTACACATTTATATGAACATTTTTAAACAAATACAGACAAAATTGAATTGTTACCATTTTTTAAATAAATAAATAAGTAACATAAGTAATACATTTAACTGTTCTGTCCAGTAAAAAAGCTTTAAAGAACAGTTAGGTGACATTAATAAGAAGTCATAAATTTCATTACATTAATTGTTGATTGTGTTAAAAAATTAAAATAATTTGGACTTTGGAGAACAAAATTAATTGGAGTACAACATTTAATTGTTACTTAAAAAATATGAAATAAAATACAAAATTCAATTGTTACGGTCTTTTAAATAAATAAAGTAAAAAATTGAACTGTTCTGTGAAGTGAAAAACCTTGACAGTTAGGTGACCTTCATTTATGAGAATTTGTGATAGTGATTGTGATAACAAAATACTCATTTGGACTCTAACTGAAGTTGTTTTTCTTGTTCTTAATTGTGGTAAGTGGTATAAAAAGACCCCACTAATTTATTTATTTGAAATATTTTATAAATATATAGGCATAATGACACAACCAAAACAAACAGGGTGTCTTATGTGATGCAACCAAAGGGCTCCAAACTGCAATGCTGTGCAATTTCCTCTCCTTTAAATTAATCTTGTTTCCCCCTTACTCTCTTTTTTTTCTCACTTTCTCAGAGTGTGCCGGCCAGTTGCCCCCAGTATCCACTCCGTACAGCAGCTCTCCTGTGCTGAGCGCGTGCCCAGATGAGATAACTCAGGGAGGAGAGGAAAAAACGAAGGGAGGGTGAGCGAAAGAAAAAGAAAGAGCTGCTTCCTTGGAAAGACTGGAGGTCTGCCAACACTTTCATCCTCTGCGCGTCCGATTCACTCACTTCATCATGTAGCAGTTCTAAAGATATAAGTCAATAAATATGGGCGCGTGAGCAAGACAAGCCCAACGAACACGTTCACAAACAAATAAATAGACAAACGGGCAAACAAGCGCTGCTCAATAGCTGCTCCGAATTATCAGTCGGAAAGGATGTCTTGCTTTCTTCATCAAAACCTTGGCACGCGATCAGAGGAGAGGGAACTGCTGTCGCTGTCTCTCCCTTCCACCCTCCCTTGCTTTTTACCTCTCTCTCTCGTAGAAAACGCTTTCTCTTGCTGACGCTCTCCATTTAAAACTTTGACAGAGTCGCTGGGAGTCACATTCACTTCCAAAGTCAAAATTAAACTCTAGGCATGGGCAGGTTTTGATTGTCAAACTTTATCTGGTGCCCTGAGGGACCGTAAGTCACTGTAAATGATTTATCGGAGAAATGCATCCCAGAATGCACCTGGAGGTGGCAGCCCAAGGGTGGGTATCGAGTGACCTCAGAAGACTTGGCCCCTGCATCTGCCATTCCCTCAAATGTCTGTGTGCTTCTACAGTTCTACAATGAACGCAATCTCAGACGGTACACTCACACTCTGAAGTATATAACACATAATAACACCACCACGCACTCTCTTGATCGGACAAGCTCTAATCTGATTGGCTGGCCTTATGCGTGTCCTTTACAAGATAGAGGGTTGCTAAAATTATTACTTCTGGAAGGACTAATCACTGGATTTGCCAAAGTGTGCAAGGATTGTGACATCAAATATCTTATTTCGGGCTCTTAGTAGCTAGAAAACTAGATATCTATATACTGCTTCTTTGCAACTGGGAAGAAGAGGGGAATCAGGTAATGGGCAATTTAAAATAACTGCTTTCTGTTTGTAAAATGTAATTTATTCCTGTGATGGCAATGCAACATTTTCAGCATCCATTATTCCAGTCTTGATCCTTCATAAATCATTCTAATATGCTGATTTGGTGCTCAAGAAACATTTCTTATTATTATCAATGCTGAAAACAGTTGTGCTGCTTCATATTTTTTTGGAAACCTTGATATATTTTTTTTCAGGATTTTTTGATGAATAGTTAAAAACTGTATTTATTTGAAATAGAAAATTTAAATTTTTCAACATTATACATTTATTATAGTCATCTTTGTTTAATTTACTGAAACCTTGCTGAATAAAGTTATTTTTTTTATCTTACTGATCCCAAACTTTTGAATGGTAGTTTAAGTCTCAAGTGTAAATTCTCTCTTCAAGATTGTTGTGTGTTTGTGTTTTATGACTTCTAGCTATATAAATACAATAATGTTCAAGAATCTTTAGCGCTACACTTCAAATGATCTACTCTGATTTCAATCAAGTAAACTACAGAAAGGTCCCACTGACCTAATCTTAGCCTCAGTGCAGCAAGCGGCCCTCCATGAAACCGAAGCAGCAGTAAGTCATGTGCCTCCAGACCCTCGTTTCCATGAGATATCGGACAGTAGGCCCAATGCATTCCCTCTAGCCCCTCAGAGGTTTTTATGTGACGAGAGAGCTGCAGGCTGGGGCCTATAGAGCCAGGAATCGGTTCTTCACTCACTAACCGCAGAGGGAGAGGCGAGAGTCCCATATCAAAGCACTGGAGCTCGCCTTGACCTCCGCCCACCACCAGCAGAGCTCCTGAAGGATGCCATGCTAGTACCGCTGGCACCATGGAGCAGGAGGCCCACTGTGAGTGGCCTGTCTGTGGGTCAAAAAGAACTACAGAGCAATCCTGAAGCCCCAGGAGAACCCAGCGCTCCAACGGGTCACGACAACAGATTATAGGTTTGGACGTCAGGGGTAGAGGAGAGCTGGACAGACGTTGGAGACATCCACGAGCACATTCATATACACAGGTTTGGACTTCAGGAGGCTGGGCCTCCTCGTACAGCTCAGACGTGGAGTGTTTGGCCTCTTGGTGCAGCTCCGCGGTCAGGACGTGGTAGGGTTGGGTCAAACTGAATCTGCAGTCTATAGGGTTTCCATCAGTTCGGATAGAGCTCAAAACCTACACAGAGAGAAACGGAAGAAAAAAAGAATTTCATTTAATCATTGAAGTATTTTTTTTCCCAGAAAAAGTATGTGAACCCTTGCATCTACCAGTTCAGTTTAATTATAAGTTGATTGTGCATGCCCAGTTCACAATTACAGGAAATATTTGGTGAAAGTTATTTCTGCTGAAACCAAGGGTTTACATACTTTTTTCCTATTCATCTGTCACAACAGAGATAAAATGTTGTTCATATACTTGTTTCAGATCATAATTTAGTTCATGTACTTGTTCTGAACTGTAAAATATTTATTTTACTACAAATTTAACTTTCACATTTTTGGCAGTTTTATTTATAGTGTAGTACTATAGCTGGAAGAGACTAAGAAATGATAAATAGAAAAGAGGGAACAAAATCAGGTAACGAACCAGATTCAAATCTGACACCTATTTGAGAACCACATCTCAATGTGTGTGCTAAACTTTTAAAAACATTATTAGAAAAGTTATGCATAATATGTCATTTTAGTGAAATGGAGAATGAATCATCTTAAAATAATTATAATCAATATTAAAAAAACTCACAACTCAATGTGTCAAAGCGTGCTCTTCTACACCACAATTCTCAGAAAGTTGGGTGACTAAATTATATTTCAAAATGATAAATACAAAAAGTAACAACCCTTAGCAAGGTAAAACAGAAACGGAGAAAGAAACAAGCAGTCTTGAAGAACCACAGCTAAACCAAAAGTTACAAACATTTTGCAAAAGTAAATATTCAGCATGGGCACCTCCATTCCTGAGACAGTAGAAATCACAGGCCCAACACACATGTTGAGCAAATTTGTTTGGAGATTTAACCTCAAAATGTGCACACAAACAGCTTAAAAAGTATCCTATCAGACGGCAGCACGCAGGAAGTTGGGGTTTACCTGTAGTATGTGTGTTTCTGGTGCAGATGGTGCGGTGAGAGAGAGACTGAGAGCGATGGGCTGGCACAGAACTGTGGTGTGTGCGCCAGTGTAGGAGACTGAGTTAAGCGGGTTGTCGATGGTTTCTGTGAAAGCAGGGGATGAGTTTTTTGTCTTTTTTTTAGCTGTAATCCCCCCTGGGCCGACTCCCGCTGCACCCCAGGGGGTGAGAGGGGTTTAGTGAGAGGGCGGGAGAGGAGTTGCTGACAGCACAGAGGGGAGATCCGGAACAGTGCCAGATCTCCACAGAGCCAGGCCCCGCTGAGACACACCTGCCCCAGCCACAGAGGCCCCCATTCTGGGCCTGTCCACAGCTGGGCCCGGGCTCAGAACCAACACCCCACTGACCACGCTAGCAAAAGACCAACGCCCCAACTGCTTTGGCTAATACTCCGACAATGTTGACCCCGCTAGCACTAAGCTAGTCAAAAACTAGCTAGGGCTAGGTTGAACACCTTATCAGGCCTTTTTAAAGTGGTCAGCTTGCAGCTCAGGCCAAAATTTGTGACCTCACGAGGCTAATGCTTTGCCAATACCATGCTAGGCAATGCTACAGATACTATTTGGGCTAATAATACACACATTTAAATGCCTTGAATAACATTGTGCTTCGTTGTGAATGTAAAATTGAGGACTAGAAGTGCCATAAGGAATTGCACAATCCTCACACTTGTTTATCCGGTTTAGCAGTAACAGATAGCCATAGAGAGAAAGGGCTAAGCTCTTTGCCACAGTAACACTAAACAAAAACAAAAAGGTGAATAAATAAAGGAGAGCTGGTTGAGAGGCAGTATGTTTGCCTCAGCACTGGGGGACATTTCGAGTGTCTTTCTCCTACCCGCCACAAAGGTTTTAACATCTTCACAGAGTGATCCTTCTTAAGACCTGCATTCACACACACGCACACACAAACATCGCAAATCCCACAGCTGCCGCTGAAACAATGACAGATTCAATTTCACAAAGACAAACGGCATCTTGGTGAGTTGGGGAGGTGCAAAGGAGAGCGAGAAAGAGAGAGAGAGAACAGTGGTAAGTGAGTCTCTGTTAGTTATTGGTTTCAGTCACTGGTCAAAACTATTCTTTTCTTTTCTTCTCTTCTCTGGACTTTCTTTTGCAGCTTGAAAGATAAACCCAAAGAGGTCCAGCTGAGCAGCAGGCCTTGTTCACAGCAGTAGAGCTCTTTGAGCCAATTTTCCAGCTCAGAGAGCAAACAGTGAGAGAGAGCGAGAGAGAGGGGGACAGTGAGAGAGGGAGAGAGAAAGGGAGATGATGATGAAGGCAATCTATGAAAGTTCTTGCTGCTGAGTCTCCACTCTTCTGGTGTGTGTAAATGTGTGTGTGTGTGTGTGTGTGTGTGCTACTCAGATGCTTGTCAGGCCGCTGTGGCATGAAATCAACACAGAAGCATTCGCTCTACTGCACCTGCACATGCCCAAGAATTTAACCCGAGAAATCACATTCCACTTGGACCTTTTCTCTTCATATATAACATGGTCTGGAATCATAACAGCAGCCATGCGCAGAAAAATGACAGAGATTGAAACCATTCCACATGAGCCTTCTAAAATCAAATCAACACTGACCGAGAGTCACTGAATAAGGAATACATTCAAAAAAATGAGAGGAATAAATTCAGCAGGACAAATACCTCAGTCAGAAAAGGCGTCTGTGTCAAAAAATGTGCGTATATACACTACCATTCAAAAGTTTGGGGTAAAAATGTATACTTTTCTTCAGCAAGGATGCGGTAAATTGATCAAAAGTTTCCTCAAAAATGTTAAGTAGCACAACTGTTTTCAATAAGAAATGTAACAAAAAAATTACATAGCAACATTAGACTATTATGAGCACTTTTGTTGGGATATAGTTTGACAATTTACGTTGTTTGAGACCATTGTGGTCATAACATTTCCTCAAGAAATTCCTTTAAAAAAAGTGGATGTCCCTGAATGTCACTGACTCCATGGTCTATGTGTAAATTCTGGAGTACTTTTCACACAGGCCTGAAAACTGTAAAAATAGTTCTGCTTTCATTCCACACTGAGTGAAAAGGATAATATGTGCTTGGTTGAAGACACAAGAAATGTGGCAATTTTAAATAAAGTACAGATGCCTGGTAAATATGCAGATCAAAAGAATGAAAAAGAGAAGTGTTCCAAGAGAGATAACAGGATATTCAACAACATCTAATGCGTACGGAAAACATAACAACAACCACCCCAATATGCAAAACAACTAAAAAAATAAAGAAAAAAAAAGTAAAGAAAAACGAAAAATTATATAAAATGCTTACTGAAAACATAACCAACTCAACATGCAAAATAAGAGTATATATAAAAATAATTTTTTATTAAAATCATTAAATTGCAGGAACAGGGGAATTGATTATAAATGTTAAACGTTTGCATAAATAAGTGTGTGTGCACAAGTGTTTTTCCCCGTGTGTCTCTTGGCAGTGCTTATCTGCGAGGGGTAAGAATTAAGACCACATAGGGAAAGAAAGCGTACTTTCTAAATGCTGAAGACTAAGCAGAAAATGGGTTTAGCATGCAGATAGCAAACTTAACAAAGGGAACATATATATGAGGCAGAATTGATTGAAGTGTGTGTCTGTGCGCCGAGCGAACCGTTTGATTCACCGCTCGCGTCTTACATAAACTGCTAGCTTGATTTCACACCACGGATCTGAAAATGACAACAAACACTTTAATTAGAAACGATGAAGGCGAGAGACACTTTAATGTTTTTTAACCGTAGAAAAATGAGAGAGAGAGAGACAGAGAGAGGAAGAGAGAGACAGAGAGAGAGAGGAAAATAAATAGGTGAAGGCCCAGGATAAATCCAGGGTTCATTTCCAACCGGAGCAATCCAGCGTTGCTTTATGCTGCCCCCCTTTTATTTTTTTATTTAGCAGTTTTCTCCCCCTTGTTTGTTTTCATTTGGTGCATTTGCGATTGGAAACGCAGCTGTTTACTCGTCTCTCTCATCCCCTGCTCTGCGAGTGAAGATTTTGCATATGTTTAAAACCAGAGTGCAACGTTGGGAGCTTAAGCATTGCTTGCTGATTTCTGAATCGTCGCCATTCAACATTAAGCAGTGCTGATAGGCACTGGAATGTACAGTAGAGATGGAGAAGTGGACAGACAGTTTCACACACAAAAAAGGAAGAGTACTTTGGAGATGTAGACTCCAGTAATATCAGTAGCCTAATAAAAGCGGTTTTATTTTACATGTTTTATTTTCACTGCATGGGGCCACTTTGTTCTGATCACATAGCCAGTTGAATACTAGTTACTTTATAAATAATGAAAAATTATTACTGGATAAATTAAAACAATAAAACTAAATGCTAATTTATTAATACTAAGTTCAAGACAAGACGACATTTCGTCCACTGTGATGTAAGCAAAAAAATAAGTGGTACCTTTAAAAACAATGATGGATTGGTGTTTGTACTGCAGCTCTATTCTATAAGCAAAATATTTCTAGAATCAAGAAAACATTTGTTTTTTGTTTTGTACCTCTGCATAGCTGCTGCGTAGCTGCAGACTCGCTGGAGAACAGAATACATACTACAATGAAAGAGTGTCAGCTACACAGGAAGGGGGCTGAAAGGTCAAAGGTTGGCTGTTCACGTAAAAAAAAGTTCAAGTAAACAGTCTGCGAGTTACTGCAGCTCATTGAGAAACACAATGGTAATTGGTACAGCATGACAAAAGAAAAAAAGAAAGGTAAAATGGGACAAAAAGACTGGGGCGAAAAAGGGATTGACAATCTTTCCGAAACCTTGAGCAGCGGAGCATTGCGAGGGCATTATTAAAAGTATTTATATTATTTAGGAGGTCACACCCTGGTTATTATCTGACCTTCAAGTCTCTCTCACATCATTCAAATTCATCACCCAAAAAATGTTAGTTCAGACATGGATAAAAGGCCAACCCTGAAGCAAGGTCAATGTTTGCTTACCGTAAGCCCTGGTGTATCCGAGCAGGCGAGCAGCACCAGGTTGGCCCTGTCCACTGCACTAGGGACTGGAGACCAAGGCCTTACCTCCTCGTTACAGAGAGGCCACCAGCACACGGCCACATCCTGTGTCCGGTTCAGCCCCACGTTGCGCTCCATGCGCCGTCCTCCACCAGGTAAATCCACCACTGAAACCTGCAGAAGAACAGCAACCGTAAAGGAATCATACCACAAAACATCTATAAAACATGACCCCAACTCTTCTGCATAACACAACACGGCTGCATGCTGCTTTATTAATGTGGCCTGAGCTGCTTTGGGTAGCAGGGCATTGTTATCTTTTGTTGGGGTTTTTATTAAAATCATCTGAAATAGCCGCACATGTTCTGCACTTGGTGAGGTGTTTGAAGGTAACAAGGTATTTGTGTGACTGCTAATAAGATCTCTAGATGCTTTCATTTTCATAAACCCCAGATTTGGACAGGTACTGTATTGTTTCCAGCATGGTAGGACTGAACCAGAATTGGATTCTGCAGGAAAATACTATGGAAAATAAAAAGGTAATTGGTCTATATCTTACAATTGCAAGTTTGTTTATCGTAATTATGACTTTATATCTCATAATTGTGAATTGATTTCTCATAATCAATATCTCGGATTCTAAAATACATCAGCCAATTTGCAGCACAGATCAATCCTAAAACCACCCAAAATTACAGGTTTCTAATGAAGCGCAGGCTAGTGTTTTGCTGCTGACTAAGTCTGACTACCAAATTTCATTAAAATGAGCCGCACCTGATTGAGACACACCTGCCGTTTGGCTGATGCACAAACAGCTTTAATCACTCAAGACTGTCTAGCTTTAATGTAGACATAATAATTGAGGTACTCAAAACTGGTTCCTTTGAAGGGGCGTTTAATCCACTTTCTGTTTATGGGACTGCAATAATAGTTCAGTAAGGAGCGATATTTCTCCTACACCTCTGCATTAATCTCATATCTGCGACAGCTCATCATGTGCTATTTCAGCAGTTCTGAGCTATGGTTTTAAAGTAGGGTTTTTTCCAGACCCTTAATGCAGCCCATAGTACGAATAAATGGCATGAAAATACGATATGGCTCTTATAGAGTCGGTGCCTATTCATGCAACATAATAGCAGTCATTTCCATATACTTCATTCTGAAAGGCCTTATCAAGAGAGCAAACACAGAGTCTCTCTTTATGTCAACAACTCTATCTGTGCACAATAGGGAGGACTAGAAATGTACCACAGTCTGTTCATGACAACAAAAACTGTTCATCATTTAACCTTGACCTTCACAGACTGTGCCCGTACAGACTAATCGTGCATGTTAAGTATCATCTAGCATGAAAATGATTTATATAAGATTAATAAATAAACAAAAACAAAGTAAACCAGTACAGACTGTGGGAAAATAATATTCATCTCTCTCTGCCTCTTTCTGCCCTCCCCCAAAACTTGATTCCCCGTCTCGCCTGTGCTTGCTGGTCAGCAATAATCAGACCCTCTTTCTGGAGGATTAGGCTCTGTCGCAACAAAGCGCTCCAGTAATGCGATAATGTTCGGGTGCGGAGGGTGTTAAGAGCCTGATGTATTTATGTATTGTGTTTAGTCCATAATCAGACCCATCCAAATTGTGATCTCCGCACACTTGGTCTCCGGCCCATTAAAATTAGGTTAATGCTTTCAAAAAGAAAATGAATAAAGATTTTTTTTCTTAAATTCCGTTATGAATTTTTTTAGACAAGTTGCTTGGAAAGCTAGAGAATGAATGGGATGGAGAATAAAGAATGGAGCGATCACCTACGTTTCCTCTGAAGAGGAGGAGATGGACTTGACCTCACCCTCCAACCCCTACATCACTGCTCTGCTAGCGACAAACTGCATGGCTGTGACCAGTTTTACAGAGCGGTAATAATGGTCACATCTTACAATATAGATAGTACATTTTCTGTTCCTCTGGCTCAAACAGTAGAGCGTAGTGCTAGCAACGCCAAGGCCATGGGTCTGATTGCCAGGAAATCCAAGAACTAATGAAATATACACACTAACTTTTTTATATACAATACAATTTTTTGAATGTTCTTTAAAAATTAATAAATATAAAAGAAGTATCTTATGCTCAGCAAGGCTGGTTTTATTTGATAAAAAATACAATAAAAACAGTAACATTGTGAAATATTACAAATTAAATAATTGTTTTATTTTTTTCTGTGAAGACTACATTTTGATTTGTTTGCCCAAAAAATATTTCTTATTAATATGTTGAAAGCAGATATGCTGCTTAATATTTTATGTAGAAACTGATACATTTTAGGATTCTTTGTTCAAAAGTACAGCATTTGTTTTAAAATTGAAATCTTTTGTAACAATGTCCTTTGACCATCAGAAAGTCATATTTTTTGCTAAATAAAAGTATTAATTCCTTAAAAACAAAAAATACACACACACACACATAAATAATTTCTTATTTCCAAAAGTGAAACTTTCATATATTCTAGATTCATTACATGTAAAGTAAAACATTTCCAACGTTTTCTTTGTTCATGAAAGTCAAAAATCCAATATCTCAAAATATTAGAATATTTACATTTGAGTTTCCTTAAATGACCATCCCTACAGTATAAATTCCAGGTATCTCTTGTTCTTTGAAACCACAATAATGGGGAAGACTGCTAACTTGGCAATGGTCCAGAAGACGATCATTGACACCCTCCACACAGAAGATCATAACAAGGGAAGTCGTGGCCTAATGGTTAGAGAGTCGTAACCCAAAGGTTGCGGGTTCGAGTCTTGTACCGGCAGGGGTTGTAGGTAGGGGGAGGGAATGTACAGCCAGGGTTCGTACATATTTTTACCATGACTTTTCCATGACTTTTGAGACAATATTCATTACCTAAATGTTCCATTATTTTACAATAAGAATAAAAATCTGTTCAAATTATCATAGCATATGTTAACTAAAATGAATGACTATTAATGCTACTCGTTTGCTTTCTTGTTTTAGTAATAAGTACAAGCTGCAACTGCGCCAGACCTTACTCCACATTTCACATCACTGAATATTATAATTTATTTAACTGTGTGGCCAGGATGGCCATTTTGGTGTCATTTTGTGTGTATTTTTGCTGCTTAAATGCAACAAGCTGCGCTTTAGAGCCCTGCATTTCAGCCCGAGCCCAACGGCCCCAACGGCCCCAACTTATGTATGGCTTCGGGATAATTTTCACGTCATAGCTCAGTCATGGGCCAGGCATCAGGCTTGCTTCCTCCTTATGTTTATATTTTAGATATCCATCAATTATTATGGGGATGACAAAGATTTGCCGCGCTCGTGGAAACAACACGAGACCATGCTACCGCGACTGTCAAGAGTGGCTCAGATGGTGTTTAGTGTCCAGCAGCAGCGAATGCTGGAAGAGTTCCATGTTAAAGCGCACGCAAAGCTTTATTTATCTAGGTTAACGATTTAAACTAACATTGTTTTTTAAAGCATTTTATATAGGCCTATAGATTTTATTTTAGTCAAGTCGTGATGATTTGAGAAGGCTAAATTGATCAAACATAGGCTATGATTAACTCACTGTCTGCCATGGCCGCTCGGCTACCCACTGCTCCGGGTGTGTGTTCACGGTGTGTGTGTGTTCACTGCTGTGTGTGTGCACTTTTGGATGGGTTAAATGCAAATGAATGTCACATGTCACGTCACACCTCACGAAAGGGGTCAAATACTGTCAAGTAAAGCCGATTCAAACACTTGGGAGAGCTTCACAAGGAGTGGACTGAAGCTGGACTCAGTGCATCAAGAGTCACCACACTCAGACGTCTTCAGGAAAAGGGCTACCAAGCCACTTCTGAAACAGAAACAATGTCAGAAGCATCTTACCTGGGCTAAGGAGAAAAAGAACTGGACTGTTGCTCAGTGGTCCAAAGTCCTCTTTTCAGATGAAAGTAAATTTTGCATTTCATTTGGAAAGACTGGAGAGGCACAGAATCCAAGCTGCTTGAAGTCCAGTGAGAAGTTTCCAAAGTCAGTGATGATTTGGGGTGCCGTGACATCTGCTGGTGTTGGCCCAATGTGTTTTATCAAGTCCAAAGTCTACCAGGAGATTTTACAGCACTTTATGCTTCCACCTGCTGACAAGCTTTATGGAGATGCTGATTTCCTTTCCCAGCAGGACTTTAGCACCTGCCCAGTGCCAAAACCACTTCCAAAAGGTTTGCTGACCATGATATTACTGTGCTTGATTGGCCAGCCAACATGCCTGACCTGAACCCCATATGAAATATATGGAATATTTTCAAGAGAAAGATGAGAAACAGTCGATTCAACAATACAGATGAGCTGAAGGCCACAATTAAAGAAACCTGGGCTTCAATAGTGCCTCAGCAGTGCTACAGGCTGATCGCTTCCATGCCACACCTCACTGATGCTGTAATTTGTGCTTAAGGAGCCCCGACCAAGTATTGAGTGCATAAATGAACATACTTTAAAGAACTTGAGCTTTTCTGTTTTGCAAATTCTTTTTTATTAATTGATCTTAGGAAATATTCTAATATTCTGAGATACTGGATTTTAGACTTTCATGAGCTGTAAGCTCCAGTCATCAAAATTAAAACAAAACAAACATTTTTTAAATGGTTTACTTTACATGTAATGAATCTAGAATACATGAAAGTTTCACTTTTTGAAATAAGTTACCAAAAAAAAAAAGATATTTTTCACGATATTCTATTTTTTTTAGATGCACCTGTATATGTATATATATATATATATATATATATGTGCTGTCAAACGATTAATCGCGATTAATCACATCCAAAATAAAAGTTTTTGTTTACATAATATATGTGTTTATATATTATATTTATTTATTTATAATATAAATTATATGAATATAAATATAGACATGCAAATACATGTAAATATTTTCAAAATATATACTGCATGTGTGTGTATTTATATATACATAATAAATATACACAAAAACTTTTCTTTTGTATGCGTTTAATCGGCACTAATCGACAGCACTAATATATATATATATATATTACTGACCCCAAACTTCTGAATGGTAGTGTACCTTAAGGGCAATGTAATGTAAAAATGAAATGTTAATTAATTAATTAATTAATTATTTATTGATAAAAGCATCTGTCAATGCAAAAATAAATGCATAAATGCAAATCTTCACTTTCAAATGTAATTTATCTCTAAATAGAGAAATGATTTTGGTTCCTTCTGTTCCGGTTCTAGCAAGACCTTTGATGTGGGAAAACGGTGTGTAATGAGCACACTGAAAAACTGCTTTGAGTAGTTAATGCTTCTCAAATTTCAAATGATACTGTTTTCAAAAAAGCTTTTTTTCTCCCCTTTTTTATATTTACTTGATGCATAACAATTACAGTATTACAGCCATTATACAATGATCCAACTGTCTTCCTTTTTAAATAAAAAAACAACTTTTTTCAAGGTTTCTGTAATTTAGTTTACAAAAATAAAGACAGAAGGAAGAACACATTTGTCAGGCTTATAGAGATGTACTGTCATAAAGGATGTGACCTCTCTATAAAGAGAGGAGTGCTGTATGTTTGGACCTGATGTTCCCCACAGGTGTGCATTAGAGAGGAGCTCCAGTAATCACAGTGTTACCTGTCCCAGCGGTAAAAGAAAGCTAGTAAAGCCAGGCAATTATTAGAGCTAAAAGCCCCATGGAAAGAGCCAGACCAGCCTCATTAAAGCTTTTTAATTGAAAGCAGGAGAGGCTGTGCTGCCTTTCCTCCTAAAATGTGCTAATGCATGTGCATTGAAGAGTGTGCACGTGTATGTCTTGAGGCAAGTGTTCAATAGATGTATGCATAAAAGATATGTGCATGTGTGTGTGTGTGTGTGTGTGTGTGTGTGTTACCTTAATCTCTGTAGCTGTGAGTTTCTCCATGTGTCGTGCTAGCTCAGGTGAGCTCTGGTTCTTCCTGTTCAGGTAAACCTGACACACCTGACTCCTCTCCATCAGCGAGAACAGCAGGAAGCGATCGCCGATCACCGCTGAAAACCACAGAGAAAGGTTAAAGGTCAAAACTCATATGACCTTGTGAGACTACAGCTTGACTACAGATTGATTCAAATGCTAACTTACCTCTTGTAGAAAAGCATTTTGCATTTATAGCTAGAGATAATTCTTTCAAACAATAACGTCCCTCAAAATTTACTGGAACAAATTTGTGCACCTCTCAAAATATGTTTTTTATTTCATGGTAGGTACTTTCCTTTGACTTGTACTGTTATTAGGATATTTAGGATATTTATTGTCCAAAACTCTTTATCTTACCTTCATGAGGAGGACATTTGGTCCCCACAACATAGGTAAGGTCTGACCCACACACACAGAAATGAACAAAATGAATAATTTCCATAAGTGTTTGAGTCAGGGCAGTAGTTTAAGAGACTAATAAGGAGTCACAAAAGAGAGAGAGAGAAAGAGACAGACTGTAAAGCCTGTAGGGTATGCAGCTTTCATGTTAAAGAGAGACATTTGCAGTGAAATTGTTGACAAGCTCTCCACACTGTGATTAGCAATTAACCTTCCCTTCCTAAAAAATTAATCTGTTTATGAAACCAATTAAACGGCAGAAAAATTAATACAAGCCATTCAGAGAAGCAGGTTTAGTTGAGGATGATATTCAGGACTGGAATTTCCAACAGCAATTAGAGATGGAATATCAGCACTTCTGCAGTAATTATGAATCATCTCACATTCAAGCATAAAAAGGGAGCTCATTTCAAAGGAACAGTGTGTTGGCAGTAATTTTACCATCACTTTACCAAGTTTTACCTTAGCAAGTCTTCAATAACAAAGAAAACATGCACATTTGCAAAAGATTTTGAAAAATGAAGCTTAAACTGCTGAAGTACTGTGCGTTAGAAAATGTCATATATTTTTGGAAATTAAAATAATAATTTTTGCTTAAAACCAAAGTTTTTAGTTTAGCCACTTTAAGAGGCTCAAGCGTGATTTGGAAAAGCTAAATGTAAATGATACACTCCACCAAATTAAAACTGATTATTTAAATTACATATTTTCCCTTTGGAAAATAAAAGCAAAAAGGAATAACATGGAATACTCAGCAGGCTTTTAAAAGATTACAAAAATTCCAGAAAACATACTGATGTATTAGTGCTCAGTAATCACGGCCAAATTAAGGGGAAGATTCCACGATAATCCTTCCAAAAAAATGTCCAAATTTGTGTCTAGGGGCTAGTAAACAAGTTTTGGAACATGTGAGCAGCGGGTTAAACCAGAATAAATCAATAAATTCCTCTAAATCTGCTTAGTTAGTTAATACTCCATTCCTTTAAAACATGTTTACAGCACTGTCTAAAACGCTTACAAGCAGTGATATTAATTTCTAGAAAAATATAATATAATATTTGATGATGGCGGATATTTTGGTTCTTAAATTGTAGGTCATTATGTTTTGGGCATCTCAATACCAACATAGTTTTTACCTAAAACCACTGTAGGAGTTTCTTACACTATACAAATATTCCCAAACACCTCTCTTGTCATTGTTTGGCTGTCCATATACATCTTAAAACATCTTAACCTGTGACTGTACTAACAAAACAGCTATAGATGCAGTACAGATAATTTGTGGGTCAGAAATGTGAGTCCTTCACAATCAAAGGCCAATCAAAGTTTCTGATTTCTCTCTTTGTACTACAGCACTCACAAAGTAACTTCATCAAGGCCAGAACAGGTCTGACTGCGTGTGTGAAACTAACTGAATAAGTGACAGATGCAGAAGCCCTCCTGGCACCCCCACCCTTACACTCTCTCTCTCTCTCACACACACACACACATAATTACTCTGGTAATTAGGGGCTCTGGGGGCCTGAATGGCACTCTATGGGGGGCTACTAGGAAAAGGGAAGGCGTGGGCTGACAGAGTGAGAGAGAGAGAAAGAGAGCGAGAGAGGTTTGTCAGGTATCTAGAGACCTGGCACAGAGAGCATTAGCCATATAAGCTCTAAACAATACATGATATGAGAAAATAATTAGCAGATTTGGGATAGTGTCCAATTTCACAAACCAGAAATAAGACAAGGAGGCATGTCAAATTCCCCTGAGATTCAGGAGGAACCTCGACATGTACATGTGTGTGTGTGTGTGTGTGTGTGTGCTTGTGTCTGTGCCTTTCGAACTTCCTTTGGGAGTAACAGAATAGGGAGAAACAGAAGGGACTGGCGTTCGTGACCTGTGGGTGTGCATGCCACCCAGGCCCATGCTGGGAAAATGAGCAGTGAGCGAAACTGCAAAGAGAGGGGAAGAGACAAGAAGAAGAGAGAAAGAAAAGAAAAGAGAGAGGAAGGGTAGCGTGCAAGTGTGCATTTACTCACCGTCGCTGATGGTGTCAGCAGGTAGTCGCCCCACCAGCGTTCTGTCAATAGCCACCCGTTCGACCTGAGCTCCGCCCAGGATAAGGGTCACCAATACCCCTGATCTCAACAGCAGCTACACACACACAGTAACGAACAATGACACAGTCACAATGCTTTGGACTATAAATATCCAGAAAATTACACTCAAATTAACTGTTCACACAGACAAATGAACATTGCTTCATATTCTGCCAAGACTTACTTTCTTCTGTGGAACACGAAAGAAGATATTTTAAAGGAAGTTTCAGTTGTTTGGATCAACATACAACATGATATGAAAGTCAAAAATTTCAAGCTCCAAATCAAAATACTGATCAACACATGCACACAAGACTATATCAAATATGGTGACACAAACTTCAAACATCAATGAAGAACCAATAATTGGTGCATTAGAAGTTTGGACACCATATTTGATGTAGTATTTCAAATAATACTGTAACGGCTCTAATTACTCATTTTATCTCCAGAAAAAAAATTAAGGCAAAAATAGAGGGGAAATTATGCCATTAAAAATATTTGAAATATCAAATATTCCCAAATTGTTTTCACATCAGTTTGGAGATTCAATTTGAAAATATAATTATGATTACAATTTTAAACTGTGATTAACTATAGAAATCCACAACTAATTATAAACAATCTACAGCACTACTTTTAAGTCACCTCAGTGTCTTCACTTTTTAGGGCTAGAAGTTTTGGGTCCCGGTAACTTTCCATAATACGGACAAAAACAGCTGAAATATATCTTCTTTTGTGTTCCACAGAAGAAATTAAGTCAAACAGGTTTGGAATGACATGAAAGTAGATGATGGCAAATTAAGCAATTTTTGGTGAAATATCCCTTTAAAAAATGCTGGCTTATAACATTTTGACTGAAATAAGTGGGAATTTTATCTTTATATCATGTCAACAGGCGATAAAGGTCACAGCTTCCAATCAGACTCTGCTGCTGTGCGGGAAAAAACATCTCTGACCACCACCACCACCAAAAAAAAAAAAAAAAACTGAAAAAGGTTTGGTCCCCCTAACTTTTTAAAACAGCTGAAATCAAGCACTTAGGTGCAGAAAATGTGCGCGCACGTGGCTGAAGAATCCATCCACACTGAATGGAAAACCGCTGGGCTACAGTGATGTGCTTGGGAAGGGAATCTTTTTGATCCCAGAGATAAATTCCCCAAGAGTATCTGACACAAACAGTCTGCATACGCTCATTGCCTGACCTCTGCTACACAAGCCAACTCATGCCAAGAAGGACTGATGCCTGCTGGGTACTGGTGCATGCTGGGTAAGGTACCTGACAGCACTGTTTGCATCTCCATCTGACACTCATGACCGGGCATGACTGCAGCAGCTCCTGAGAGAAAGAGAGACAGAGAATGTGTAGTAGGAATGAGTAGATGCCGTCTGAGCGTTTTCAGGGTCAGGTTTAGAAGGATGTTTCCAGTTTCAGATATGGAGAGGCAGCAAAAATGAGCCTGAGTCGGACTGAACAAAGCTAGGTTTGTGTGAGAGAGCCAGAGGCAGAGAGAGAGAGCCAGCTCACAGTCCCAATCATCCCCCTCAAATATCCCCCACGATGACAGAGAGGTACCCACACAGGTGCTGAGAGAGAGCGAGCGAGCGAACGAGGTCGGGAGATTTTCTCCTTCCTTATGAAAGGAGGGAGAGACAGAGAATGCTCCTATTTGTTAATCGGACTGCAGGAAATGTAAACAAATACCTCTAGTTCCTTTAGGGCATCACGCAGCTTCAGCTCCACCTGAGGTCACTCTACAAATGAATCTGAGCAGACAGCTCAAGAGTTAAATCCACTAATTTCAATCCTGTTGATGATTTGGGTACAAACATATGGGACACATACAAACAGGAATGAATAGGAAAATAAGTTGTTAAAATTGTTAAAAAAGTCTCGTCCCATTTGGCTTCAAGTTAAAGGACAGCCCTAACTAATCATTTCCAAATGTCTTTTAAGCTTTATCTTCATTTGACCCCATCTAAACTATTACAGATTTTTTAAATAATAACAATAATTAATGATAAGGTATATTTAATATTAATTTAAAGTAAGTAATACAATTGTATGGTGGATTTTTATATTTTAAGACTTAACTAATATTAATAATTCTAATTTTATTAACATTGTTAAAACTTATATTTTGAACATTTTGTACATATTTATATACACTGTAAAATATTTAATTAAATAAGCTAAAAAAATCCCATTTGGATTCAAGTTTTATTCCAAATTTCAGTCCTTTTTAAAGCAAACTCTGTATTTCTTACATATAAAACTCCAAAATAAATATTTTCCCTGAATCTACAATGCAAAGCATAGATAAAACTTCCTCTTTCTTTTAATGTTTAAAACAGTTTTCTATTTTCATTAGCTAAAATATCTACTTTCATGATTTCTCTCATGTTGTAGACAGAACGGATTTAAAAGCGTAATATTAACTAATAGCGCAACAGAGGCTAAATTCAGTGCAACGCCGCAGTCTCATTCAATCAGCGCTCCCTGAGTTAGCAGTCACCCGAGGGAAGAACTCAAAGTTACCATAACATATTAAACACATTAAATACGGCACTCCAAAATGCCTCGTTCCGCTCACAAAGCCCCCCAAATTTCCGCTTAGATCTCAGTCCCTGTTTCCCTCTGGAGCAAACCAGCGAAGGGAAAAAAAAGAGAGAAAGAAACGTTAATAGAATTCTCGGCTGAGTTCAATCTGTGAGTATGCGTCTGCATTTATGCATTAATACGTTCATCCGGGACAGGGACCCACGAAAATCGAGGAGGTCTGTTATTTGTTTTCCTAAAGATTCTGCAATCAAATCCAATCAGTTTTTTTATTATTATTTCTACACCGTTAAGAAACATCTCCTGCCTTTTAGGAGTAAGAGGATGCAGAAATAAATGAATGCAAATGAATGAGAGAGGGTGGGAGGCGAGCAGGATGGGGGCGAGAGGGGGACAGGTCTGTGTCTCCTGATAAGGGTGTTTGTGTTTCTCTCGAGGGCGACGGGAGTTACCCCACCAGCAGGGTGAGCGGGTAGGAGGTAACTGGGCATTACAGTGGGAAGACACTGGCCATGCTGGCAATGAACATCTGACAACATCATAACTCAACTGAAAAAGAGAGTCAGTCCTATAATAATCTAAATTAAAAGGGGCAGAATGAAGCTGTACTTGTCTTAAAACAAATACAAAAACTAAAAAGCAAAGAAAAACGCTGTAATTGTTCAATGGTTAAATGTGAAGCCAGAGAAAATGTCTGGTCAAAACATTTGACATAAAAAAAAAAAAAACTTTTTTTGGACATACCATGGTAACATCACTGTATTCTTCATAGTACTTTGGAGATGCATGGTACATGGATATACAGCAGTTATCATTCAGTACAACACTGTACCATGGCATCAACCAAACACTTTTTGTAAGGGACGGCTGTTGAAGACCTTAATGAGGTCTGAAGAATTGCTATAAATATACATTTCCGGCGCAAACGCTTGATAAATCACCATCACATTTTCCATCATCGTGACTTGCAGCCTTATGCAGTGTTTTTTCATTCCATTCTTATTAATTAATGTTGCATCAGACTCGTGAGGGTTAAAGAAGTGGAGGGAAAATGGAGTGATGTTTAATATTTGTCAGATTTGCACTAATGGGGCACTTCATTTCCCAGGCATCTGAAGCACAATTTAAATTAGGAATCAGATGAGTGTTGCTTCAGTAACATGCAAACCAATGTTCTTAAATAATGAGCTAATATGATCATTGACACAAAGGTTAATCGTTTGACAATGGATTACTTACTGTCTGCAAACTGCTGTTTCTCATTGTAGTAATGCTGATCTGTAGAAGAGGCTGCACAAAGAAGGATTTATATTTAAAGAATGCAAAAGTGAGTTGCATGTGCATATGTAGATGTTTTGTCTCTGGGGAGGAAGTAAACTCAATTAAAACATACTTTTTGCATGCTAACCTGCTTAATTTATCCACACTAACAATATCCAACAACGAATACACCACAGAAGCACAGAAACTCATGAACTAATTTCCACCACAGTGGAAATATATAAATAGTATAAATATTTTTGTAATAAAATGCAGACTCCTTTATCCTACTAATGCTATTTTTTATAGCTGAGACAATAAATTGCACAATTAAATAAATAACACTTTTTGCATAATTTGACAAAATAACACCTTTACTGGAAACAACACACAATTAAAGTACTGTTATTTAACATAAATTACATTTTCCTTGATGGCTCCTTATTGCTCTCAACTGACACTTCTGTCTGCTTGGCAATCAAGTACACTCATTTTTAATAAAACTTTAGTGGCAGAACTGTCTGTTTTGATGAAAATTACATCTTAATTGCAGGACAGTTGTAAAATCTTTAAAACTAAATTTGGGATAAAGCATTTTCACACAATGATATTAAAATGGTTTGTGTGTATTTATTTTATATATTTTTTGGATTATCTCAGTGTTTAACATGTAATAGTATATTTTACTATGAGTTTTCGTTAAGATTGAAAGTCTGTCTCTGGGTCAGGTTAAAACTGTAAAATCTGTAAACAAAAACAAAAAAAGTAGCAAAACAAAGGAATGGTAAGACATTTCAGAAAATGTTTTGATATAAAAAAAAAAATCAATCCATGTAAAATTGCCCATAGTTTAAGCAACACCCATGTGTGTGTAAACACACCCTCAAGTGTCTTTCTCAGCATATGGTCAACTCAGTTGTCATCACGCCCCAATGTGTGTTTGTCAGAAAGGGAAAAACAGTGACTCATACAGTGAGAGGGACAGGTATGCCGACAGACGGAAATGACTGAGGGCAAGACCAAACTCCTGCTTTGTCAGCACGCTCTCTCTCCACTGTGCTATAGTACCATACCTTAAGCCCCATCTCACCCCAGAGTCCCAGATCTCCAGCCCTCTGCGGCCCAGCCAGACGACCCCCTTTCCTGCATTGCTCTACAGGAGCCCTGCCTCTCTCTGCTGGAGGCCTGGACCTGCTGGACAGCTCCAGGATTACTGCTGCTAATCAGATAAGGGCCATTCTACCCCTGCCTGCCCCAGACACACACATCTGCTACGGGATAGAGGGGTGGAAAGAGCCCCCTTTCCTCATAGAAGCATGGGTCTCCTTCGCCCTCTGCTGGAGGCCGTGAGAAACAGCAGGTACCGCAATCGTTCAAACTCAACTTCTGGAAATAATACATTTTATTGTGCGGCTCTATAACGTATAAACTATGCACTACAGCTTAGTCATAAATCATAAATCAATTGTTAGAATGTAATGATTTCATAATGCACTAAAATAAATAAAATTATTTTTATTAATGGTTGTATGCTGTTTTTACAGATTTAACATTAAGACTTTGATCTCTGTTATTAATAAACAGTAGGTATGATAAATAAACTAACAATGCATTATTACGTTCCCCTCAATTTTTGATTCTTCAAATCAATGAGACTTTAACCATCTGAAGGTCTTTATAACATCAAAGCATTTGTGTTTTCTCAGACAGATAATAAGAGTTTTTGGTAGATAAAACAACAGAACAAACAAAACCTCAAGTTTGAAGCATTAAAAATTAATAACATATTTTTGTTATTGTTTAAATCAATAAGGTTTTCACGTTTCAGAGCCGGCTGTGTCCTCTCATGAGGGGTCTGGATTATTAAATATTTAATCTGCGACATGTTAAAAAACTTAATCAAGAAACCTGGTGGCACTTCATTTGCCCAGAAGCATTTAGAGAACATCTGTAACAGTGATGAGCATGCAGACACGTGACTGCAGGCTTTTGCTAAGCTTATTTTAGGGGCAAATCTTAAAAATTAAAATATTGAAGTATAGCTGATAATATTGCATGCTTTTTGGTAGCTGAAAGTATAATTAAATCAAATACTCAATAAAAAAAACTAAAAGGGGATTAAAAAGGGGCGGGGAGATTTGTAGACTTTGTGAATGATGGGTGTTACAATTCTGTTGAGCTTTGTGAGCGAAGATTCAATGTGTGTCTGGTGTTGAGTAACAATCACAGGAGTAAAAAGTAGGGGTGGGCGATCTACCCAAAATATCATTATTTTAGTTATAACACACAATCATGATCCACATCTTCCCAGTTTTGAGATATACAGGAATATCTAGGAACAAGCCTATGACTTATCTATTTGCACACAAAAAAAAAAAAAAACGGTATTGCTTGAGTTTAAACTAACTAATATATACATTGATCCTTATTAAAGTTATAAAGTGATTCAGTCAAGAGCAGTGAGTGATTTTTTTCTGTCTTTTTTGTTTGATTAGCATTAATGACACAGACAGCAGTAGGTTTATTAGGCTGCTGTCTCTTTAAGACTGAATGCATGGATCTAATATACTGACACACGTCCGATTTACTTCCAAGCTGTTTATCTTCACTTAAAACATAACTGACTGTCTTTACGTAAATACTTGCCAAGACAGACATTTTGTCATATTTTTTTGTGAATATTTGACCGTTTATGAGCACACCTGAACCCCCAAGCATACAATGCTCATCAGCTCACATTGAATTGTTTTCAAATACGTCACCATGCATGAAAGACACATTATAGAGACACGTGATATAAATTGGCCAGTCACAGTTATCTAGTAGGCAGTTATTGCTATAGTTTTATCATTTTTACGAAGATGTAAAAGATAACGATCTCTGCGATTCATTTGAAAAGCAGATCGTCAATGTCTTTAAGACCGATCACAATATAAAATCGTCAGATTGCCCACCCCTACTGAAGTGTCATTTAGTGAATTTCAATTAGGATTCAAGAGACATTTACGCAGAAATACTGTGATTCAGACATGAAGACTGAAGTGTACATTAATTTTTCTTCTTTCCTCATTTTCATTCCTGTCAAAAATTAAATATGCCACTACCCTGACTAAGGTAGTGAAAATGAAAAATAAAAAAAGTTATGATCAAACTTTAAAAATAAGAAATGTGAATAATTTAATGATATATTTAATAAAGACAAGGTGATGCATACCTGGTTCTCCTTTTTCACTGAGCTGGTATGTGCCAATATCTGTATCTGTGAAAAGGGAAATAAAAAGGAGGAAGGGGATTCATCTAAATACAAAATAAAACACTGAGTTTGTTAGCAAAAACAACTACTGTCTAATACAAAATATAGTGAGGAGTTTTGCACTTTTGGCTGCAGTAGATGAAATGTCCTTTAAGCAATGTCAAAAAAAAATGGATTTCTAAGAGAGCTGTGAGCACCTGGAATGTTTGACTTTGCATTAGATTTACAGTTGGACTCTTCATGAACTTTGTACCTCCAACATGGTATAACAAATAAACACGGACTACACTATTTCCATCCACACATACATCTATGTTGATGCACCATTTTTAAAGTTTTTATTCATTTCATTCCCTCTCTCGTTCTGTCACTCAATATACGGGTCAGGAGGGCTGGCTACAGGCGATAGAGCTGCAATCACATACAAATACTCGCACACAGATTGCAGAACACAATAAAACGCATGTACAAAAAACATGCATGCATATAATCCACGACAACATGTTATCACAGGATTTTCCAAATAACTGATAACTGGCCTCGTCTGTGAGAAAAAGAAAATACATTTTGCACTTACACACACTTACAGTACATCAGAACAGCCAAGAAGAAAAATCAAAGGGTGAACAAAAAACAAACGTGCAAAAAAAGGTTACAAAAAGAGCAGAGGATGTGAGGATTTTAACAATAAAGAACAATTAAAGAACAAAAAGAATGGAACGACAAATTGAAATGTTGTGTTATGAAGTATTTATCACAAACTGCTTCATAAAAGCTATAATTAAGAGTGCCATAAATTTAATTATAGGCCACAGAACGTCTCTAGTAAAATGACTAACCACTCTGGTGTAATAATAACCACCATAAGTGTGTGACACAACAGTTTAACCAGCTCTGAAAGAACTAATATTCGTTATTGCACAAGACAAAGTCAGACAGAGGCGTATGGGTGCATTTAATGAGAAGAAAAGAAGACAGCAAAGGGAAGATAGCAGGAATACACATACAAGAGGCAACCAAATGTGTGAAAGAGAGACTTTTGGTGTGTTTTAATTACCTGGGACTTGCAGGCTGTTCCTGAAGGACCACAAGTGTAGCTCCGCCAGGCAGAACGACATCTGAACGTAAAATACATACGAATTATCATGAGATCACGTTGGAAAGAGAGACTTTTGGTGTGTTTTAATTACCTGGGACTTGCAGGCTGTTCCTGAAGGACCACAAGTGTAGCTCCGCCAGGCAGAACGACATCTGATCGAACTCAAACAGGAGTCTGTCCAAACAGGGAGAGAGCCAGTGAGAAAGAGGAAGGGCAGACAAAACAATAGAGGAGATATGCAACAAGAGCCCTGCACCGTGTCTTTCATATCACCACAGAGACCTCAGAGAGCTGCAGAGATAGGGAGGATTGTTTTCAGACTGTAACTAGTTTTTGACACCTTTGGTCCGCACTAAAAAAAGAGGAGTGATTTGAGTTCATTCACATGCAAAAAACACATCAATTTGAAATGAAATGAAAAAGGATGAATCCTCTACAAATCTCAAGGGTGCTTACTGACACAACATGCTGGCACACACACCAGACTGTGACACCACTCACACACTCTCTGTTTTCTTTAAACACACACACACACTCGCTCCTGCTGTGTGTCTGGGTTTGAGCCAGAGCTCTGTGCCAGGTGTCAGCACAGTGTGGAACGCCTCTGCACGTCTCAACAAGGTGAACACACCTCTGTCTCCTCCACACACACACTGTGACAACTCCCTGGACTAGTGGGCTACAACACACTCTTTCTTTCTCAGACAGATGGCATTTAAAAAGAACTGTATATTCATTCCAGTCAGCTACAGATGATATGAAATGAGAAATGACACGTCTAAAAAAACAAACAAAAAACAAACAAACTATTGGCTGTCACTTATGGTGCATACTATTAACTTTAATAAATTAATACTAAATTAAAATAACATTTATGCATTTAGCAATTTCATCTTAGGATGCACAATATATTGATACAACATTGGTTAACAGCTGATGTTAAGATTTTTTTTGTGTGTGTGTATTGCATTGGTTATTGTTTTACATTTATATTACCTTTGCTCTCTTAAAATGAATCTTTGAAAACAAATAATTTCATAACACCGTTGCATGTAATCTTTAGCAAATCTCCTAATAATAATTTTTTTATATTGTAGAATATAAATGCTGTGATGCCTAAATTCATTTAGCATTTATATTTTGAATTTATTTAGACAAAGATGTATAGAAATTTCACCCTTCAGTTGCTGGTCCCCATTGACTTCCATAGTATGGAAATAACTAAAAAAACAAGTCAATGCAAGTCAATGTGGACCAACTGAAGGTGAACTATGCCTTTAATATAGGCCTTTTACCAGTGAAATTAATATAATAAAACATTTTAACATTGGTACATTCAAACTTCATCCAAAATAAAAAATAAAATAATAAAAAAATAAAAAAAGTAGTCTAAATGAGCTTTTAAGCTAATAATGAACTTTTTTTTGAGACATGTGAGGATGGGGCTTCTACAGCAGTGTTTAAATCCTAAAAGTTAACTGTTAGTACGGAATTAAAGACAATAATTTAGCTAGGTACAGTACAAAAAGTATATAACAAAGTGGCATGAGATATCACAAATGTTAATTCAATTATTTCTCGTTATATCAAAAAGTAAACACATTCAGCAGTCAGTGATAGAGAATCACAATGAGATTGGGGCATGTCGCAGGCCGGACACAAACCTGCAATACCCATACGAGCACCGTAGTACATGGCTTATGGCACAGCTTCAGCAGAAACACGGAGTTTGACTGAAACCGAACATCTTTCAAATATTCTTGGTCCAGACATCTATCCATCCATGTGACCTGTTTGGATGGCTGCAGGTTGCAGAAAAAATTAAATCTAATGTCATATTGAAGGAAGAGCAGCATCTCTGCTTTCTGTCTGTGTCACAGGGTTAGCGCTGAGCATGCCAAGTCTTATCTCGAGGCCTGGGCTAACAGAGGGGGAGAGGGAGAAAGAGAAAGAGAGAGGGGCAAAAAATTCTGCCACTTTCCTAAATAAATAAATAAATAAAATTTACCACAAACATAAAATAACGCTAAACCAAAAAAAAAGGGTTGAGAAAACGCTGTCCCCAGCACAGCCTCTTAACAAGTTTACTGACATAAGAGGATTCTTTCATCTTCTCGCTAGCTTTTAGAGCGAGTCAGCTCTTTCTCTCTCTCCCGACAGAAACCCAATTTCTCCACAGAGGGAAGAAGCTTCAATTCACACTTTGAGATGGACAGTCAGGCGGAAGGCTCATTTTTGATTACCCTGTCTCAAAATGGCCATGATAAGCTAGAAAATGAGACAGAATTGCATCTTTATTTTTGACATCAGGGTGACGCAAGGCTGCGCTTCACAACACAGGCCGGAGAAGCACTTGGAGTGAAACAAAAAGAGACAATTGGTCTCATTGTTCCACCCAAATTAAGACATGAGAATGACCTGAATGGCAAATTAGCGAAACTGCTTATCAAAACACAGTGCACACTCCCTTCCTGGCACTCACTGGAGACACAGCGCTCCCTGCACGCTCGTTCAGAGTCAGCGGGCATGTCCCAGAATGCCGTGCTGCAGATGCCACAGTATTGTGATCACAGCAGCGCTGGCTGGCCGTGGCAAGCTGTTAAAGTGACCGCACATTTGCATGCGTTAATGGGCTTTTATTGTGCTGTGCACAAGCAAATTAAGAAGCAGTATTTACTGATCTGGGGAAGAACAAAAGAGAGGTCAGCCAGTGGGACAAACACAACCCCTCTATCCCACACACTGAAGCACAGCTTTGAGTTTTTCAACGTTGAGTGTTTTTGAAATGGCTTTTCGAGAAATTGTGATTGATTGTTTAATTGGCTGTCTGAGAGTTCCTAGTAATTGTTTCACTGCTTTGTTTCAGGTGTGAGTATGCAGAGAATAGCTATGTTTCCATCCAAAGTTGCGAATATAGTTATGCAGAAAACTGGAATATCGCATAAAACATTTGCAAATAAGTACCGTTTCCATCCAACCAGTCAAAGAGAACGTCACTTCCTGATAAACTGGCACTAAATATCACTAAGAAAAGTAGGAGACGCCACGGAGTATATATAATAATAATAAATTACTTGTGCATCAGAACGAGCAGACGAAACACAATAAATTGCTTTCGGAGTTGGATGCCTGCTGTTTGGGAATGCTGTTGTGTTCCGGGAGGCAATTATCCAGAAATACTTTGATGACAGACTTTGCTCAGGCATCTCAGAATGACCATAACCATATTTGAGATGCTGTGCAACAAGATTGGTCCAACGGTTAGTCAAGTTATGCAAAGTCACATGACTTTTTTGATGCGCATGGCAGAATTTATTCGGTAAATGTGTTTCCATCTTCAATTATCTGCATTAACTCTTTTTCGCACAAAAAACACCTCAAGTGAGCGTAAAAACTTTGCGAATTAAGATTTTTTTCCCCCTGAAATTTGACGTTTCCATTACTTGTTTCTGATACGATACTTCAAAATGTGCATAAAAACAGGGTGATGGAAACATAGCTGATGTTAATACTTTGTGAAGATGTAATCTCACCGCATGAGATTAAATCCGCATTTGCAATTCTGGTTCTCTTTTTTTTTTCCACGCTGAGTAGATCTCAGTGCCAGCATTATGGAAAGAGAGAAAAGTGTAAATTTGAGTATTCAAACACTTGAGTATTCCTTTGAGAAATCTGACAAGTGCATCATCTGGCTGTGACAGGCCTATTCAGTGTCTATGGTTTGAATGTGAGGCAGAGGCAACCCGTTTATGAATAATTACAAAAAAAAAAAAAAAAAAAAATTTCTATTTTCTTTTCTTTGGGCAGCATCACAAGACCTCCAGAAAAACTGCGTGCAGGCCTCCTCCAGTGTTTGAACTTAGACCTAAAATCTAGCTTGTCCAAAAGTGTGCCCACAAAAGGCCTGTAAAGATCATCATAATATCATTCAACGTATTACATGTAGCAAAAATAAATTAGTAGAGTATTAGTAGAAGTATTTGAATTAAGTTTGGATAAAACTGCTGACAATTCTCAGCTTGGTTATTTGACAACATCAACTAGGATGTTCTGTTCAGTATTTCTTTATTTAAAATAATAATAATTAGTACTGTCAAACGATTAATCATGATTAATTGCATCCAAAATAAAAGTTTTTGTTTACAAAACATATATGAGTGTACTGTTTATATTTACTATGTATATATAAATACACACACATGCATGTATACATTTAAGAAAAAAGTGTTATGTTTATATATAAAAATATTTATATATAATATAAATTATATGAATATAAATATATACATGTAAATATTTTCAATATATATACTGTATGTGTATGTATTTATATATACATAATAAATATACACAGTACACACATATATTATGTGAACAAAAACTTTTATTTTGGATGCAATTAATCGCGATTAATCATTTGACAGCACTAATAATAATAATAATAATAATAATAAATTTTAATCCATTTTGATAATGACGTTGTGCCATGCATCTGACTTCTTCACTCTTGAATGAACTATCAACAGCAATTTCCATTTTTAACATACTACAACATATTGTAACTCATGCAAATGAACACACACTGGTCCCAAGCAATCAAATGTTTAGGATAATTTCATATTTAGTAAACTTCCACAAGAGAGATTCAAGTCTGTAGCTGTTCCTACACATGAAAACATACAGGAACCACACTGAGCAGCTGTCAAACTACTTCTAATCCTGATCCTGGGGCCAAATGTTCCCTACCTCCTCTAGCTGTATCTGCCCCTCAGGTGGACGTCTCCAACAGCCTGTCTAAATGCTGGGCTGAGCAGAGGAACACAGTCAGTCTACCTGAGATCTGTTCAAAGGAAACAGAAAGACAGCAGTTGAGACTTTCACCACAGCCAATCAGCCAAACCAACCAAACGTGCATCACTATAAAATTAGGTATTATGATGTATAAAGGGTTATTTCTATAAAGATCTGCCCTATTACTACTTTTTATTGTGCTATGACAGTGACAGTAAAGCCATTGATATTAAAGAAATAGTTCACAGTGTGATCCGATAGGGAACTGGATTGAATTGGGACAGCAATTACAAACTTTGGGTTAAAATCCATCA